CTAAGCCCATCAGGGATACCATGCCACAGTTCTGGATTGGGTATGGTGATGCTCATGCTGAGCTGGCGAGTGTTTGCCTGACTTATTTGACCTATGATGACTTCTCAGGAACCAAGGAAAGATCCGGCAAAGCCTTGTTGCAAACCTTCGATGAGTACAAGTTTCTTCCATATGCCGTGCAAGCATGGGGCACCCACGCGCATCTCAGCGACTTCAGTGACGGTGTCTTTGATTTGACCATGAGATTACTTGAATCTGAGACCGAGTATGGGGGCAATTACCACACGTGGTGTCATATATTCTTTCATCTGCAAAAGTCCAGCGGCCAGCGGTTGAAGACCTCGAATAATTCCTCTCTTTACTTTGCAAGCTTCTTTGGCTTACATCGAGCCGTCTCACTTTTGCTGGATGGCAGCGCTGACGTCGACACGGAAGATCCCATGATAGCGAGTGCAAGTGGTGGGCACGAGTCAGTGATAAAAGTCTTTCTTGACCAGGTTGATTCGATAGACGCAGTTGTGTTGGAAAAATGCCTTTATGTAGGCGCTGGGCAAGGGCATGAGTCGGTCGTTAAGCTTCTACTAGAGAGAAGAGTGAATTTCAATGCTCGATCCGGAAGAAATGGCACCGCCCTCCAGATTGCTACCCTGAATGGTCGCCATCATGTTGTTTCACTCCTTCTTGCTAATGGGGCAGACATCGACGTTACCTGCCAGCGATACGGTGTTCCCCTTGCAGCCGCTGCTGAGAAGGGACATCTTCAAACATTTCAAGTTCTCCTCAACCATGGCGCAAATGTAAACGGCCGTGGTGGCTGGTATGCGTATCCTCTGGTGTCCGCTATTGTTGGAAGGAATATGCAGATGGTCAATGCTCTTATTGAGCGAGGAGCCAATCTGAACGCTTTGGGTGGTCGACACGGATGTGCATTAATGGCAGCCTCATCTATGGGGATGTTGGACCTGATTCGCTCACTGGTTTCAAAAGGTGCCAAGGTAAATGACGAGAATGACAAGGGGACTGATAGTCTGTATGCAGCGTGCATGGCGGGCAATATGGATTCGGTGAAGCTTCTCCTAGAGCTTGGAGCAGATGTCAATGCCAAAGGAGGAAAGCATCGAAATGCACTTAACGCGGCGAGTGCGGGGGGTCATGTCAAGATCGTTCGATGTCTCCTCAGTGCCGGCGCAGATGTCGAATTCTTCGACGAGCACTATGGAAATAGTCTGCAGATGGCAGCCTTTGCGGGACACGCAGAAGTAGTGCGTCTACTGGCGGAGGTGGGAGTGGATGTCAATGCGACTAGCGCAGATCGAGGAACGGCGCTCGTTTCAGCCGCTCAAAATGGCCACACGGAGATTGTTCGGCTACTGTTCAAATTGGGGGTTCCAACTGGGGATACTTACGAGATGAGCAACGCCATAATGGTGGCTGCGAACAAAGGACACATTGATGTTGTGAAGGTCCTCGTTGAAATGGGTGCAGTTACAGACGACTGTAGCACCATTTCAACACATCCCTGCTGCACACCCTTAGAGGCTGCAGCCGTGAAGGGCAATCTAGACATGGTTCGTCTGCTACTTGATCTAGGTGCAGATGTCAATTTCACAAACGATAAAAAGTACGGAACCCCCCTGATTGCAGCTTGTCGTGGGCAAAAATCAAGTATTGTTGTTGCAGAGTTATTGCTTGAGTCTGGGGCAGACATCAATGCCTCAGCGGACTCTGACGATATGATTTTCTGCGCACTTGGAGCCGCCTTGAAATGCGAGAACTATGATCTTTGTGTTTTCCTCCTCGAGCGAGGTGCGGACGTGAATGCCGTCAATGATTGCTATCCTACAGCCCTTCTCATGGCAGTCGTACTCGATCATGAGAAATTTATGGATCTTCTCTTCGATCACGGCGCAGACATCAATCTTGCTATTGAGCCTCTTGAAAATGAGGATGAGGATGATGATGAGGATACTCGTGGGGATTTCATAACAGCACTACAGTGTGCGGTAGAGCGAGGATCCAATGAAAGAGTTCAATACTTACTTCAAAGAGGCGCTCATCTTTCAGTGGACATTGAACACGCAATGTTCTGCTCTGCGTTACAAGCTGCATGTTTTGTAGGAGATATGGACAAAATTCGAATTTTAATCGACGCCGGGAGTGACGTTAATCAAGTCGGTGGCTTGTATGGCACGAACTTACAGGCTGCTGCATCCCAGGGACACCAGGAAGCGGTCACAATGTTGATAGAAGCTGGTGGTGATATCCATGCGAGTGAAATCGGCAAATATGGCAGCGCATTGATGGCTGCCATTGAAGAAGGCCACGATGAGGTTACCCAGCTATTAGTCAACCGGGGAGTTGATGTCAATTGCCCCATTGGACCTTCGCCTTTCGAATATCCGCTAACGGCAGCCGCCACTCATGGTCGGGACAACACTTGCCAAATTTTGCTTGATGCTGGCTCCAATGTGAATAATGAAGGAGGTATATACGCCACTGCTCTACAAGCCGCGGCGGCTGAAGGCAATGATGACACCATTTCTCTACTGCTTCGGCATGGAGCAGACCCTAATATTGTCGGTGGCAAGTTCGGCACCGCGCTACAGGCTGCGTATGCAAGTGGATATTACGTTATCATATCTTGTCTTCTAAATGCTGGCGCATCAGTCCATCTTGAGGGTGGACAATATGGGACGGCTTTGAGCGCAGCCCTTGAAAATTCTTGCGCAACGTTAGTTTCGGCCCTTCTCCGACATCATGGTGCTGATCCAAATACTCCCGTTCGGAAGTATGGGACACCACTTCAACAATGTATAAGGTGGAGAGAGGATGATAATGTGTTCGACATCCTGCTTGATGTCGGAGCAGATGTGAATGCTCAAGGTGGCATTTATGGTAATGCGCTTATATGCGCGGTTGTGCATGCAGAGGATGCGGTCTCGGCGTTGTTGGATGCTGGTGCCGATGTCAACCTGGGAGGAAATGCAGCCTATCCTACCGCAGCTCATGCAGCAGCTGAGAGGGGGCGCTTAAGGATTCTTCGGCTCTTAGTTGAAAAGGGGGCTGACTTGAAAAATTCGATTGGTGGATCTGGCTCACTGATTGAATATGCTTCATCCTCATGCGATAATTTCTCGGTATTCTCCTACCTCATCAGACGAGGGGCAGCCATCGAGCCTACTGGCAAAGGGAAGTACCACAACGCACTGCAGGCCGCCAGCGTCACTGGAAATAAGGCGATTGTAAAGGCTCTTCTTCGTCGCGGGTTTGACATCAACACGACCGGTGGAAAATTTGGTACAGCATTGACAGCAGCTATTGTGTCAGACAATCTTGATATTGCAAGGCTGCTTCTGAAGAAAGGCATTGATCCAAATGCTACAGGTGGTATTTATTCTGGTGCATTACAGGCGGCAGCTGCCAGTGGATCCATTGGTGGCGTTCGCCTTCTACTCAGATACGGTGCCAATATCCACAAAACTGGGGGAAATACTCCACAGTTTTACAGGCGGCTTCTGTGTCTGGAAACTATGAATTGGTTGAGCTCCTTCTTGAAAAAGGCGCCGAGCTCAATTCTCTTGGTGGATATTGTCACTCTGCACTGCATGCAGCCGCATTGTATGACCGGGCAGCATCCTGTGAGCTCCTCATGAAGAACGGGGCACACTGGAGCTTAGTGGACCGCAAGCCTAGTCATCTGGGTCAGTGGAGACTTGATCATGCTTGCAAGATTTTACAAGACTGCCGGGAGCGACAAGAGCGCGGCTGGTCAAAGGAAGATTCGGATAGTGAAGAGTCAGATGTTGAAGACGATCAAATTGGTGACGATACTACAGACAGCAATCAGGATGATGATACGGATGATAGTGATGACGATACAGACGATGAGGAGGATAATAGTGATGAGGAGGAGGAAAAAGAAGATAGCGAGGATGACTATGAAGAAGATAAAGCATGGAAGCTGAATGTGGGGGAGATTTCAATGTTCGACTTCCCTTCTCGTCCCTCTGCGACTTCATAGAGGTTCTACAACTGGAGGGCCGACCGAATCGCAGGTGCAGAGAATACAGCATCATGAAATACCATATATATCATCCTTTTCTCAAAAATCCAGATCTTGTAGCCTTAGTCCTATTATCTGAGGCTATGCTCAACTATCGGTACAGTGATCACCTTATCAGGCTTTAAGATCGGTGGGCCAGTAAGAGAGCGGCGGTACTCGATCAAAGTTATAATAGGCTTGAAATCCAAACACTCGAGAGATCGTCACATTTTTGGACAATCTACAAGTCCCCCATCAGCAGGTGTGCTAACAATACGAACAAGTGCGCTGCCTGCATGTGGGGGCGGCCTTAGTTCGTGGAAGTTCTCAGATAATGATCTCGTTAAAGCATGACCCTATTTTAATATCCGTGTCTTTCCTTGTCTTTTTGAGACAAAGAGCAAGGCGTCCAATTACCCCATTCACTCGACGGATACTCGATCCATGTGGAAGTAACGCTATGAGCTGACCTGAACCCTTTGTCTCACTTTCAAGCTAGCAGGAATTGCCCCACCAACACTAGTCTCACGTATGTGGGGGAGCGAGAAATCCTTTCGTCTTTTCATTCTTCCAAATAATTCTACGGGGTTACGGAGCACGGAGTGATTCGGCTACAGTGAGAGGGTATAAAACCCCGGTTCGGCCCTGGCCTTGAATTCTTGAGGTCACTATCACACCTTTTATAGTATTTATAGACCCGGGCTGCTTGATTTGCTTAGTACCAAAGGACCTCAAATCGTTGTTAAAATGGATTTTCCCAAAGTCTTCACTTTATTATCTTTCTTCTTCACTGCTGTCGTGGCATTCCCCCAGCAGACTGCCGCAGGTACAACGACCGCGACGCCAGCGATGATCACCAAGGCTGCATCGCTCAGCTGCTCGGACGGCCAAACTGCGGTCTACACTACAGATTGTACGATGGGAACTCCCACGTCATACTGCGCTAGACCAGAGCCCCCAATCCAGTGCTCGGAAGGGTATTTTCCCTCGGTTTGGCACCCTGGTCATTGCATGGAGATGTCGACCTGTTTCCCGCTTGATGCGTCTTGGATCACGACTGAGTGCTCACATGGAGCGATCCCTTGGACCACAAAGACCTTGTATGAGGGTACTTTGGCAGGAGGAGAGTCAACTATCATCAGTGGTGAGTGCTTCCTCCCTCTTCGTTTTCCTTGGTCAATTCGCGTCTTATTATCCGCCTCATCAAACTATAGCTGGTATGTAGACAATGAGGCTAACATACTTCATTTCTTTCAAAAGCTGTTTCCTGCTCGTGTGCCAGAGATCAATGGTATAGCATGACGATGCTCCCAGGTGCATCAACCGTGGACACCTTCTGCATGCCCTCGAGCTCTTGTCCAGCGGGCATGACAACCTCTGTTTCAACCAATACGTACTGCGCAACAGCGCCGGCAAGCGCGTGCTCGGATGTTCCCCTGGAGACCAACTACTGCAAGTGCGAAGATGCAGGGCAGACACCTGTGTATCCTGACTCCGTTGGGGCAGCTCCAACTGGATGTAAATTGTAAATCAACGAATACTGGCTCTTCACATAGCAGGGCGTCTGTCAAAGCTACTTGGCTGCCCAGACTGACATGTCCTCCAAGCCGGGAATTACGTGGTTATCTAGTTGTCCAAGGCCTGTGTTTCCCTTGGTTGATAGGATTTCCTTGCAGAAATGCTACTTGAATCTTCCATGTCTCTTCTTTAATCATAGCTTAAAATAATACCAGTTTTGCCTCAAGTTCAAATGTATGTATCGATTGAAGAACATCTCAATAAAACCAGCGAAAATTTTCGCAGGCAGGCCCATCCTTGAGATATTCCGTAGGGACATCTCTTGCCCCGAGATGAACACCTTGCGATCGGTCTCTCCTCCTATTATCCGCCATCATCCAAAGCCCGAGGCAGAGAGTCAAGATAATACCAGTCCCACCAAATGACGCCGTGGTGATTAAAGCTGGAAGATAATTAGGCGCATCCTGCTTACGAAATATGTTCGAGCTGACAACTCCCATCAAGTTTGCCAACGGGACCGCAATACTTGTCAATACCAAGCGACGCCCTTCATTTGCAGTATTGTTGTTATACCAAGCGTCGAGAAGAACGGAGGGCGCAGAGGTGCCCCTAATCAACTATGTCAGTTTATTGTCTCGTGGTTCAGTGAAGATAGACCGACCAAGTCATCAGAAATGAGGCGAAATAAGCCACGTTTAGATCCCGCTGCACATCGATGGTTGCGTAAATCACGAACCCCACGAAGGTGAATGCAAATCCGAGTGCAATGAATGGGAACCTCCATCTCGTCCAGTCACTGCTGAAAGCCAGGATAAGGAGAACTGCAGCACCTGAGATATTTGGGGCGACAGTGAATAGGTTGGTCTTCACGGTGCTGTATCCAAGGCGCTGGATGATCACCGGGAGGAAAAGCTGAACAGCTTGAAGCGGAACTCCCAGACATATTTGAATCCCTAAAATCACCCAACTAGTTCCGTGTTTAAATACTCGGAATGCATCCCGGATGTCTAGCTTTTCGTTGACCACAGAAGAGCTATCAATCTGCAAACGAAGGTATGCGAGTTCTTTCTCATCTGGCGTTAAGAACGTTGCCTCTGATGCCGACCGAGGTAGATACCAGAGTGCAAATAGTGCAAAGAGAATAGTTCCTGCGCCTTCGATCAAGAAGAGGTACCTCCATGGAGCCAATGGGCCTGTGTTGATACGGAAGATTCCAAATGCCAGCAGGCCAGAGAAGGCCGAAGCAATAGTTTGAGCAGCGTAGAAAATCGCGAGTCGGCGGGCTAGCTCACCCCGTCGGTAGAAGCTGGCTCGAAATTAGGGATGATTTAGAAGGTTTGAGAATTTGGACATACGTAGTTTGGTAATAAATCACCAATGGAAAAAAAGCGCTCTCGGCCATACCCAAGAACCATCTGATCGCCAAGAGGCCGCCAAAGTTGAACACAGCGACAACAAGGATTGTACAAAGTCCGAAGGCAAGCATCATGCAGGGCAGCACAATATTCGGTCCATACATTTTTCCTAGAAGACCGAGAAAAGGTGCAGTCAAAACGTAAGGGATGAAAAAAATGCTCAGAAGCAGATTATACTGATTGCCCTTGAGTGAGAGAGTGTCTGTTGCCATTGTCAATGAGGCTCTTTTCACTCATGATTCCTGTTGACGCACCTTCCAATCCAGCTGTTTTAGCATTGCCTAAATTGGACTTGTCCAGGCTGTTGAACAGATACATCATCGCTAACACAGGAAGTAATCGAAGGTCAAACTTCCAGACCAAGGCACGCTCCGCTTGAGGGTCAATTTCCACACTTGATATAGTGACCGGCACATCTTGCTTTGAAGAGGGAAGGTCACTAGAATCGATTTCAATAGACATGGCTAGGATTCAATGCGATAATTCCAAGGGTTTTCCAGTTTATTCAAACGCATTCGGGATATATACCCCCCTGCCCTCACCATGTATATTTATATGACACAAAAGATAAGAAATAAACGCCAAGAATTTTTCAGTCAGAAGTGACGGCTGATAAGCCACCAAGCAGACACCGGTGAGACGGAAAGTCTCAAGCTTAGGCCGATTCTTTATCTGACACTTGACACTAATATAAAAGCCCTCCGTTATGATTTGGCTGGATATACTCCGTACTATGGTCAAGCTATGGGCCCTACCGCTTCACTACAGGTGAAATATCCATATCAGTTAATTACATAAGAGTTGAGTGCACAGAATTGATCATGGTAAGCACATTGTTCCTTGCGATATTTATATTGTACGTATCCCGACCGGCTTGTTATCTGAGCACAATCCATTAACGATAAAGGTATACGTATGAATATTGCTAATATTATAGATAACACCCGAAGTCTACGTTGTCAAGAGCGGGATATATTCCATGCTGAATCCTCTTGTAAAGCCCTTTGCTATTGTAATAGGCGAGCCGAACCTTGAATGGGATATATCCCGGCTTTTGCGCCCTTACCCCAGATTTCATATAAATGAAATAGTATTCTAAAAATCCATTTTATCTTGCCCGTCTGGAGTCATACTCGTGTTACTCTTATGTCCTGGTGTCCATTTATTAATGCGATCAGCCATAAAGCGACCATGTCATAGAGCTGTGAATATCAACGGAAAATCACTACGAATTACACGGAAGCAATGCCGGGCCTGAGTACCCATTTCCCCACCTATGGGCCAGGGCTATACGACGTAGATCAATGTATTCCATAAATTTGGAGTTTTTGCCCAGATTCATTTCACAGAATCGGTCAAGTATATCCTACAGGCAAGCCACAGTATATGTAGACGAGAAGACATAAGTGCAATATCGACTCTACCAGGTATTAGGCCAAAAAAGCACTTTTCAGCAATGTGAGGCCGGCCTCTTCATGATTTTACACTTTTCGAGTCCCAAAATTCGGTTTTACCACATGTCCCCAGAACTGTTTGCGACCGAGGGCCCGAGGTTTCCCCTATGAATTGATGCTGGAACCTGGGGAACTGGAGGCCTGTTTGGTTCATATCACTGTGATCGACAAGACGTCACATAGAGGGGTTGCCCTATTCCCCAGTTTCTAGGGACCGAGGCAGACTATGATATGACGGCTTTCATGTGTATTTGCGATGATAATCTATGGACTTGATTTATGGTCTCCAAAATTATTGCGCTTTCTATCTTTTGGGGTGTTTGTTCAAACGAAGGAATCCTCCACGATCTACGCATTTTGTTTCATCAACCTCAGCATCGATTCTCTTTTTACAGTTCGCATTTGACTGAGAAAAAATGGCTTCTAATAGTCCCAAGCCCGGTTTCTTGGGGAACATCACCAACGATCAGGAGGCCAAATTACAGAAGCTTTGGTGCTTTCTTCTCAAGGCAGGCGAAACCTCCTCAGGCAGCAAGAGTTCTGATGAGATTTCCGATGGCTGTGCGGAGAATCTCAGTCCCATTCAACCCCAGAGACGGCTGTCCCTACTTAGGCGCAGACAGAGCAACGTGCCCGAAAAAGCAATATCCACGCCGAACATACCATATCACCAAAATATTTTGAAATTTCTTGTGGAAATAGGGGTTGATGCAACTGAGTCCAACGCAATCAAGAAGACCCTCTCGGAGATTACACCTACCGAGCTTCGTACGGGAGTACTTGACACTCTCAAACACGACCACCCCGACGCCGTGCTTTTGCGCTTCCTCCGCGCTCGCAAATGGGATGTTCCCAGGTCATTTCTAATGATGATGGAAGCGATCTTTTGGCGAGTCAAGGAGATGAATGTAGATGAAGACGTGATGGCAAACGGAGAGCTCTATGCCCTCAAGCAGACTGAGAACAAAACCAGCGCAAGTGAACGAAAAGCCGGAAATGATTTCCTATCTCAAATGCGCATGGGAAAGAGCTACGTGCATGGCATTGATAGGACTGGTCGTCCAATAGTGGTGGTGAGAGTCCGTCTACACAGGCCTGGGGACCAGAGTGAAGAATCTTTGGAGCGGTATATTGTCCATGTTATTGAGTCAGTGCGACTTACATTGACTCCTCCGGTTGAGACTGCAGTAAGAGTTCATCTTTCATGACGAGGTGGGACGGTGTCGCTGACTCCAATTTAGGCTGTTCTATTCGATATGACAGGCTTTGGACTGTCCAACATGGTACACCATCGCTTTCAGTCCATATACTATCACTATCACCATTTCCATGGCTAACCCCTATTCTTTGGGCAGGAATACCCACCAGTAAAGTTCATTCTCAGATGCTTTGAAGCGAACTATCCTGAATGCATAGGAATTCTTCTGATTCATAATGCCCCGTGGGTGTTTTCAGGTCAGTTGATCCTTGTGATTATAGTCAAAGATAGCCTGGCCTATCTTTTGTTGTGCCATTTGGACTGACTAATGCAATGTAGGTATTTGGCGACTCATTCGAGGCTGGATGGATCCTGAAATTGCTGCCAAGGTTGAGTTCACAAATACTGTCGCCGACCTCGAGAAGTTCATTCCCCGGAACCAGATCCTGGAAGAGATGGGCGGGGACGAGAAGTGGTCATACAAATACGTTGAGCCCAGTCCTATCGAGAACTCAAAGATGGATGATACTACAACACGAAACGCTTTGAAAGGCGAGCGACAAGCTATTGGCGAAGAGTTCTTGGCTGCCACCTCTAGATGGATTAGGGCAACTAAAGCAAGAGACGCGGCATTACTCCGTTCTAGCGAAAGCGAAAGAGCATATCTAGCTGAACGACTGCGAGTGAACTACTGGAAACTGGATCCCTATGTTCGGGCTCGTCTTCACCTAGACCGAACTAAGGTTATTCAGGATGGTGGCAAGGTGGACTTCTATCCTGAGCCTGCTATGGAGAGTGGCGCTGAAATGGCAAAGGCATTAGACGTGGAACATTTAGAACGGATAGAGGACAGTGCATTATTCGCGATTTCGTAGATATTGATGTATCATAGGGGCTATATGTTCACCATTGAAGTACTGGAATTCTTAAAGTTATTACCGATTGAGCGGCCCTTGACATTAGATTTCCATCAAATTATCCCTCACGGTATAGAGTATTTCGCTCCAAGATCAACCACCTAGAGACACGAGTCCCAATCTCCTTTTCGCGTTCACATCGACATGCTTGGCCGTATAGGCCCCCGTTAAGGCGTATTAACGGGATCTTTGCGCTCACCAATTGGGGTCTTACAAACGTTATGGATCTAGCCTTCTACTTGCCTTATAAAGCCTAAATGTGTGATGTAAGATAATGATGGCTCTATAAACATACAAATCCAATTGAAATGAGATCCGACCCGTCAAGGTCGATATAGTGTGGTGATATTATATCTAGCATCTGGTTGGGAGTACTCCCATTTTCCCAGTGAGCCACCATCATTTATAAATTCTCCAAAAAGCGTGTTTTCTCACAATTATACCGTGATTCATATATTCAATTATCAATTCACTATATATCAATTGGAATAATAAAATATCACCGCCGGAGATAGGCGAGAAACGGCGTTCATTAGTTGGTGGTTTCTTGATGGTTTCTGGGCCCAAGGCCCAACCTTTTGGCCTGGGTGTGGCTGGGCGTTGAGCTTTGGGCTCTGGGCTTTGTGGGGTTGCGCAGGTCCATCCATGTCGGTGTACCGGCCCCTGGGCCGTTAGTCATCCAACTCCGAGCTCCGAGGACCGAGCCCCGACAACTACCCTACGTTGTTTGGCAAAACATTTCGACTCCTATCCTCCAGTCATACCGGGAGTTTACCCAATGGCAACCCCCCGCCGTAATGGTCAATTGGCTTCCTGTGAGCCATGCCGTACCTCAAAGTTGCGATGCGATCATTTGAGTCCTATTTGTGGACGCTGTGAGCGCCGTGGTTTCCATTGTACCTATCACCCGGCACCACTGACCCAACCCCTCACTGGAAGACGTCCTGAAAAGAAACGCCGCATCGTGTGCGAATCAGATTCTTTCAGTCCCATCAGTCGACTGCAGAGTGACAACGACGTCTGGACGCGGAAAAAAGCATCCGTCTCGGCCCCCGGGTTCCTGGGACAGACTAGTTACTCCGATGCATTTACAGATACCAGAAACGACCTCCTTGTCGGGTTTCCGTGTCTCTCAAGTCATGATAAGTTTCCCATTGATCAAAAGCGAATCGATCTCGGTGCTCGGGTCTTGGCACTCCTGGAGGACCTCCCATTTTATAGAGATGTGGTCACTGCTCGATTTAAGGTATGGAAGGGATGGAGTCTTGGCTGGCCAATCACGAACATGATTTTCACTCTTGTTGAGAAAATGTGGAACTCCCAAGAACATCGGGGGATGGACACAAAGCAACGCGCTTTGCGCTTATCTAGGAGGCTCTTTGAAACGCATGGCCGGTCGCTTGACGTGCACCCTTCAATGACCTGGGAGGACTTTCAATCTGCGGCTGAAGGAAGGTGGGAGTTGATTGGGATGCTTTTTACGCTGACAGGCCTAGCCACGGATTGGATCCCCCATAGTGACCCTATCTTCATGCGTCAGAATACGATAGATCCAAAGAGTCTGGCTATAACGGCGACTGCTGTGGGGGACATCTGCCTTCAGTTCTGCGACAGTACTGGAATTGTGAATGACATCGTAGGCTGGCTGTTGTTGCATCAGGTTACACTCTTGGCAATAGTCTATGGTGAAAGTGGTTTGTTATCCCGTTCGTTTCCTGCCATCATTGTCTAATAGAGCTCCCAGACTTTCGACCGTGGAGAAAGTTAGGAGATCTATCGACAACAGTGTTTGCACTCGGGCTTCATCAGGACTCTAGCACCAAGGCTCCATTCTTTCTTTCTGAGATGCGAAAAAGAACCATGGTCGCGGCCTACTCAATGGACAAAGTACTTGCCACTTTCCTGGGTCGCCCGCCGCTCATCAGCTGGCGCTATTGCGATATTCAAATGCCACTTGACTTGAGCGTGGAGGAAATATTCGCTGATACGGCTGTTCGTGATGCGGCAATCACTCGACTGGATGAGAAGAGTGGATGGAATCTTGAATCAAGCTTGCTGAAGGGCACGTGGCCACGAATTGCCTTAATCACTAGCGTTCTCCGTGAGAAGATCTTGGAACTTTCATTAAGTTGCCAGCTCGATAATCTTAGCCAAAGGGTCGAGTACGCTGACAGTTGAATTCCCTACCAAATATATGGCGCAGCTGACGTTCCCAGGCAGCTTTCGCACGAATCCCGCCAATTGCGGCAGGGACTGCCAGAATTCCTCCTTTGGAAACCTGATACCGACGGAGGGGCCCTTTCCAGAGTAGAATATGACCTCCTTTTCGAAATTCATATAGAGTTCCTCCACAATGATTTCCTGCTCTACCGGACCCTCGGTAAGCGCACCCAGACACAGCCCGAGGCAATTATTGGCATAGCTCGAGAGATACTCGGGGCATTAATCACTATGATTTCTGAGAAGACTCGTTCCCGACAGCCCATCAAAGATGTTGGCTTTAATGTAGGTTGACCATATTTCTCATTGTGGGTGAAGGCTAAAATACTGAAATCTCAAATCATTTACTAGGTCTGCTTACCGGGACTGCCTTCTGCCGGTGTTCTCTGTGCAGAACTACTGCGTCGATCCAGATCGACGGCGACAAGCTCATTTCTGGGCTTCCCTCGCTCAGAGATCATTCAAAATCTCACACTTTTCGCGGCATATCTGGACACCATCATTAAACCCCATGATGGTAACTACCGTGTCGCACAGCAAGGCCAGAAGGCAATCCGCCACGTCTTAGACCAAGTCCTCTCCGCCGACGGAATTTCCTCGGTCGTAGAAGCTACTGGAACGAATGATAAATTGATTGGGGATGCAAGCTTGCTTGGAGGTGTCAATTTCGACGATCATGACTTATTTCTTGGTTGGCTTGATGGAAATATGCAACACATGTCCGATTCATGGCTAGGATGGATTAACTTCACCTGAATATATCAGTCCAGTGCAACCAGATATTCAAAACAGCGAGATCAATTGCGCCGCCACTTGCAGAATCAGATGTTTAGGGATAGCTGTACAATCTCTACGTACATCGAACCCAGTAGGTACCCATGTACTCCGTAGTCCGTACATAGATCGCCGTTGCTGGTGGGCCAAACGGAAGCGGTTCCGACCCCGGAAATGATTCCGTACCGCATCTTCGTCACGTGGAGACATTGCGCTTCTGGTCACCCCAGTCTCCTGTGCCTGATCTCGTGGTCTCTCGGATAGAATCCCGAGCTTTCCATGCTCTTCCGTTGTCGAATTTCCTATTGCGACTGTTATCATGGGCCACTCGGCGTCTGAGTCCCACCCTAGAGCGAAGCGTCGGAAGATCGCCGTCGCCTGTGATGATTGTCGAGCAAGGAAAGTTCGTTGTGATGGGATACAACCGGGTATGTCCTTGCGATGGGTTCAGACGGAATGCCACCCGTATTAACCCAATGAAGTGTGTGGGCCATGTAGCAAAAAGACCGACCATGGGCTTCAATGTGTCTATACAGGAGAGTTGGAGAAAAAGCGAGCAAGGCAAACGTGAGCGCCATCAATTCTACAGCTAAACTACCCTCCGGTTGTTAATCTCTGTTTCAATAGTTATATATCCCAGTTAGAATCTCGGATCCAACAACTTGAAAGCCCACAACATATCGGGAAGGGTCATGGATCAGAGCGCACACCAGTTGGTATATCATAACGCTTTGGGTTCACTATCTAACGGGTCCATTCATAGCAGGCAAATCTACTGTCGCCGATACATGATAATGTCCAACCCGAAACACCTGGACACTATACACAAAGCATACATAGTCAGGGTGATATATCCGCACTCACAGATCAGCGAGATGGGGTGAACGCGATGATGGGTGCGGTAGAGGAAGAGCGTCCTAGTCACGGTTTCTTTGGAAGCTCTAGCGCAGCAGGGTTTATGCGCCAAATTAGAACCGCAGTCGACAGGAGAGTCGCCTCTCCTAATCGAAGATCCTCAATTCCTCATCTGGCTGTTCCATCAAGCCTGATGCCGATGCGGAGCGAAAGACCTCAGTCTTCTGTGGCAAACTATGTGCTCCCCCGCGAAAAATGGCGGATAGCCTCATGGATGTCTACTGGGAGTGTGTCTTCCCATTATATCCGTTTCTTGTCCCGGCTGAGATGAAAAACGAATATACGAAAATATGGACTGGCGATAGTCTGGAGTATGATGAAAACATGCTGATGTGCACGCTGAACGTCATATTCGCCTTAGCAAGTCAGTTGGCCGATTTTGTCCCACCTAAGGAGCGAGAAGCATCAGCAAATGCCTTTTTCTCGCGGGCCAAGGGCCTATTTCAATTCAATCTTTGGGATACTGGATCGGCAGGTTTGATTCAATGCTTGCTTCTCATGGCCCAGTATCTGCAAAGTACAGATTCTGCACATCAATGCTGGATTGTTACTGGACTCGCGATACGTAATGCTCAAAGTTTGGGGCTCCATCTTCCTCAGAACATTGCGCGCCTTCGGAGTTTTCAAGAGCAACAACTAGCGCGCAAAATATGGCACGGTTGTATTCTAATGGATCGGTATGTTCAACACTACGCCCTGACTAGCTAATCTCTTGCATGATTCTGATTCCGGTATTCTCTCAGTGTCATATCTATGACATTTGGTCGGCCTGCCATGATCTCAAAGGCCTCTAGTGGGGCGGTTCCCTTGCCAGCCGCCGTTGACGATGAATATATCCCGTCTGGGTCAAACAAAGAGGTTTCCCAGCCCCTCGATCGACCATCAATGATGGCATTCTACGCTAAATCATTAGAACTTTACGAGATCATGAACGATGTGCTTCTTAGCCTTTACAAACCAATCTCCGACGATCATGCTGAAGATGTTCATGACTTCTATTTCGATAATGTCGCAAGCGAGGGAGAGCGGACTATCTTTGAGCTCGACCGCTCGCTCACTCGATGGACACGAAGCCTTCCTCCACACCTGCGTGGAGATTCTTCAACGGTACCCACAAGTCCTATATTTTACCGGCAAAGCATTGTCTTGCGTGCAAGGTATGTGATTAATGCTAATTTTTCTCAAACATACTGCATTTACTGACCAAGGTGTCCTTGTAGGTTTCTCCACGTGCGGATGCTTTTGTTTCGGCCAACCCTCTCTAAATACTGCGCTGTTCGGGATACTACGACAGCATACCCATTGGTCTCGACGAACGACTCTTTCCCCCATCGTGTTGCGCTTCAGTGCTCCATCATATGTGTCAAAGCTGCTCAAGAGTCTATCGAACTAATATATAATAACGTCCCTGCCGACGGAACTGGCGGCCCCTTGCCGGCCTGGTGGTATAACATCCTTTGTTCGTATAGGTCTACCCCTGGCATCTCCTTCGGCATTCTGACTTATATAGATGTTTATACTTCTGCGACTGTCTTGATCGCTGGCCGTTTGTGCGCGGCGATCCTTGCTGAGGTTACAGAAAGCTCAGTTGTCCAGTCCTGGAACCACGCATTGGAGGTTCTTCGCAAATACCAAACGTATAGCACATCCGCTCGTCGATGTGTAGCGGCCCTTGAAATTCTATATGAACAAGTCGCCTCTGAAGGTCTACTGCATATCAGCCATATGCCTAGTCATGAGACAAGGGTCAACTCAAGTGCAGGGAACGATATGTCATTTGGCGAAGGAATGAACGCGGCGATCTTAGATGGCTTTGAGTTTCCTGATTTTCAAGACATGTCATGGTTAAACAGTGTTCCAAGCAACTTTTTCTAGATACCAAATGCCTTGGGCAAACTACAATGTTTACAAAAATCAAGACAAAGTTGGGGAATGTACTCAATCGCGTCCATTCAATACAATATCTATTCCGATGACTATTTTTTCGTACATTTACCGCCAGTGGCACGGAGCAGTTAATTGTGATCGAGAGTATCAACAATCATTGAACGAAATTAAGATATAGCAACTGCTAGCCCTGCTCCCCACAAGTCGAAAGGTACTGGACTGCAATGATTGGCAGCAAGGCACATCCACCACCGATAATCGCAAACATCACCTTGAATATCTTCCACCTGCCTTTACTTGGTATTATGTATAGTCATTCTACATGACTGTTCAGATATTTCATCGGAAGCTCAGTGGTCGGTTTTCTGTTGTTAGTATAGTCGAGTCCCTCTAATTGCTTGTTCCAAGTCCATCTTGAATGTTTCTATATTGCTAAATATCTCAGGGAATCTGCATATTTCTCCCTAGTTAGTTAACAAGTTGTTCTGAACTCCTCTTTTTCTCAATCCTTTGTTTCTTTCCCATTCCTCCTATTTTCTTTCATATAAGCAAATACTTCCATACAAGAGATATTCCCCAAGAACAATCTCGGGCGAGCAATGACCGAGCAATTTCTCCGGTCTCCGTCAAATCCCCGCATTCTCTGACTTCCCCGTAAAATCCCCGGTGGGGTTGGGTTTTCTGTAGCTGAAGGCTTGGGATTTTTTGGGATTTATAGATGCCCAATTGGCGGATTCCAAAATCCGTGTACAAGAGATATATAGAATGAAAAATGAAAAATGAAAGCACTCCTTCCATGAACAGTCGGCCGATTCGGAGCATTGATTTCCCGTGTTGGGATGATTCATAAAGACATGGGAAGTCATGAATTTCTCAAAAAAGACAACATTGATTATCAACACTCCTCATGCGGGCTTCGTTGCGGACAACTCTTGCGGCGCTAGCTGCTACTGCAACGGCGCTTCGCGTCGCAGAAAACCAAACTCACATCACACTCGCCAATGATCGCCTGACGGCCGTTCTACAAAGGAGCATTGGTCAGATCGTCGATCTCACTCTAGATGGCCAAGACTTATTGGGTAGCCAGTCGGGATCCACGGGAGTAGGTCCGTATCTTGACTGTTACTGTATCCCTTCGGGGTTCTACACGGCCGGAGCCACATCCCCGAGTATGGAAGTGCTTCAGGGTATAGATTCAACTGGAACCAAATATGGAGGTATGATTCTGAGCGACACATACACCCCGACTGGCCAAAAGTTCCAACAGTACTGGTTTCTACGCGATGGCGAGACTGGGTTGCACATGTTCAGTCGATTGGCCTACCACAATGAGACCGCACCTTACCTTCGCAATTTGCAGGAGCTCCGAACCTTGTTTCGCCCCAATACGGGTCTATGGACGCATCTGACGTCTAGCAAGATCCAAACCGCACCCCTACCAAGCAGGGATGCCATTGCGGAGCAGGTGGTTGTCCAAGATGCAACATGGACATTCAACAACACGCCAAGCGATGCATACTACACCCAGTTCTCTGAGTACTTCACTAAATATACATTCTCAAACCGTATGATCAATCTTATCTCATCTTTCATTACTAATTGTCGTATTGACTAACAGTGCTTTCTCTTAGAATGGAGAAACAATACTGTTCACGGTCTCTATGCTGATGGCAGCACATCAAATGGCGCAACATATGGCGCATGGCTGGTGATGAATACTAAGGTTGGTTATATTACTTGAGTCCTTACTAAAATTGGAAATCCTCTAACACACTAATCCCAGGATACATATTACGGTGTAAGCGATATGTGAGCATAGTGAAATGCGGACGCTGATATCTCTTAGGGTCCACTCCATTCTGACTTGACCGTAGACGGTATCGTTTATAACTATATCGTATCAAATCATCATGGAGAGGGCACGCCGAACATCACAAATGGATTTGATCGAACGTTTGGTCCGCAGTTTTATCTTTTCAATGGCGGCAAGGGCTCAGCATCTCTCGAAAAATTGAGATCGGAGGCAGAGAAATTAGCAAATCCTTGGTGGAACGTTGCATTTTATGATTCAATTGCAAAGCATGTCGTTGGATATGCGCCCTCGAGCCTGCGAGGCAGTGTCAAGGGGACGGTGAAGCTTCCCAAGGGCGCTGTTCGCCCAATTGCCGTTCTCACAGTCGACGGTCATTACTTCCAAGATAATAGCGCTGTGCCGGGTTCTTATCAGTACTGGGTCGATATCAACCAAGATGGAAGTTTCAGCATTGATCGTGTCAAAGAAGGGAAATACCGACTCACTGTCTACGCAGAGGGCATTTTTGGTGACTATGTGCGCGACGGAATTATTATTCGTGCTGGAAGACAGACTACGTTACATGATACTTGGAAGCAAGAATCAGCGGGAACGGAAGTCTGGCGAATTGGAATTCCCGACAAGTCGTCGGGGGAGTTCCGACATGGCAATGCGAGAGATTTAACCCATCCCCTTCACCCTCCCGAGTATCTTATCTATTGGGGAGCCTATGACTGGCGAGCTGATTTCCCTAATGGTATCAACTACACTATTGGTACAAGCGACCCGGCGATTGATCTTCACTCTGCCCATTGGTCGGTCTTCGGGCCAACAGCAAAAGATTCACACATTGAGTATGACACAACAAATGACTGGAACATTCATTTCACGCTCAACTCCAAGCAACTGCGCAAGCAAAAGGTAGCCACATTGACCATACAACTAGCTGCCGCAAAGACCGCAGCAGGCAACACAGATGCGTGGAATCCCGTCGAGCCATACAATAATCTATCACTAGAAAGCTACATCAACGATCAGATGGATCCATTGACCCTCACAGTTGGGTTCAACCAGTCAAGCAGCTGTATTGTGCGGTCTGCTGTAAGCTGCTACCAGGTTGGGTCAAAAATGGAGTTCCCTGCGAATTGGTTACATGCCGGAGACAATGTGATGCGATTACATTTACCTTTCAACGCAACCGATACAGAAACTGCCGTTCTCCCGGCCACTGTTTATGTTCAATACGATGCTATCCGACTAGAGCTGCAATAATGTGGCCAGTAATGCAGCCTCTTTTTAACATATGTAATGCTTCTGAAGATAGCAGGATTCAGTTCATACGCTCCATGCATGATACCACATTGGCAGATAGTAGGGTATTGAACTTCTCGCCCGGATCTCTGAGCAACCGAAATCTACTTCGCGCTTCATCCTACAGAATGTCGACAGTCATGTTTTCTGGATGAGATGGGCGGGGCCCAGGGGGATGCATATCCCCTCCAGTCCCACGCCTTGGAGGCAAGTCAAAATAAAGATACTCTACTCGGAAATATCAAAGCAAGGACCTGCTATTCTCAATAGAAATAAATACATATGGTTAAAGGCCCCAGAGACTGGTGGCAAACGAATGACAATTGAATGGCAAGATCCGCTCTCAAGCACAGCGACCCCACAAATCAGAGAACGCTGGCCTGGGGAGATCAGATCATGGAGGCCCTTGATAGGTTTTTCAAGCGTACATTTATGTACTTCGCGCTGGTATTCATTTTTTTCTTGCCTTCCCCGCGGAGCCTACTGTCATTGACAAGATTGGTAGCGCTCGTTGATATTTCCATGGCGGAAAAGGCTGCACTTGAAGAAATGCAATTTACAGAAGGCCGCCGAAGCTGACGCAGGGGGCGGCGACACCAACAAGGTTGCCAGTCTATGTGAATCAGTAAGTTTGTTCCTTAGCCGTGGTCTTTGGAGAATACTTACAGCCTGGGAGTTGGAGTTCTGGCAGCAAGCAATGTTCTGCTGGCAGTTCTTCTTGAGGAAGTCGGTCAGGCCAGCGGCGCCGATGACTAGGATATGGTCAGTATGTTCTTACAATTTGTCTATCAAGGACTTACCAGAAACAGGGATGTTGAGCGAGGTGCAGCCCTGGCCAAGGCCGAGACCCTCGCTGCCGATGGCACCGAGGACGTTGGACAAAACACCAACATTGTTCTGGCTGATACCCTCGTTGTGGTTGATCTTGTTGCAGCAAGACATCTCGGCACCATTTCCACACTGGTTCACAGCGTTCTTGACCTTGTTCTCGGACTCGGGAGTAACGCCGGCGGCAGCGCCCGAGCCAGGCATGGCCATGGCGGTAGCAGCGAAGAGGAAGGCGGGGATGAAGAACTTCATTTTGATGGGGATTGAGGAATGCTAAAAGTGACTGAGAATATCTGAGAGTGGTTGCAAGTCTTTTGAAGATGAGAAAGTTGGATGATGGATACAAAGGAATTGGTGACTGGAAAGATTGTGCCTTTTATAACTTTTCTGATTCTGAATCTGCTTTCTTGTTTTGTTTTTCTTCATGCGTCCAAGGCAAGAAAGCCCTGGTTGGTCTTCGGCTATTCCACCATCTTTGTTCCCAGACCTGCAGGGGAGTGGAGGCCTTTGAGTGACTTGCACATGAAGTATTGCTTTTGTCCAACAGAGTAGAGCTTGGCCAGCATGGACTATCGGCTTGCAAGCGATCCTTGCTCAGCCAGAGGCTTGAATATGCATGAATGCGTCCAAGTTTTTCCTTGTTTTCCCCTGCCGATCAAACCCTGCGGGTTCCCCAGACGCCAGCGGAGGGAGGTGCGGTAAAGGTGCATATGGAGGTCAATGCAACCTCAAACTTGGGGTTTCAACATTGATCTTCAGCATTTGGAGTGACAATAATTCGTTTGTTTTTGCCTCTGATTATGCGTATGATGTCTCTGTTTCTCCGGGAAGTGGATTCTCCAGTTGATGAATCTGATCTATCGCTTTCCATCACAAATCTTCTTCCTTTCGGGTTCACTGTTTGTTATCCCATTTCCCATGCACCTGGGGAGCGTCTCAAATTATGATTGAGAATTTTGGTTTCTCAATTTGACAATGATTCTCGATTCGAAATCGATAGTCGCATGTGTGGGGATGCTCCTGCATCGTGCATGACGCACCCCTGTGAGCCACCAACAACCACATCCCCATCCCCATCCCCCTTTCAGGAATTCTGTTCATAATTGTCCTGTCGAGTCCCAGAAAAAGGCCCATTGAGGGAAACCTATAGCCGTAGAACCCTGTCGGAAATCTCCAAATACAAGCATGTGGACAAAATACTCCGTGCCCACCTACTTCAACCAAAAGGCAAACTCTGGTCTCAAAAATATCTTCAAATCTCATCAGTATATGCATGCCACGGTATACTCATCACAAAGTACTCGCACTCGCGTAGCCCCTTGCCTACCACGTAAAAGACTCTTCCACAAATTTAATTGAGCAGTGGCCTTGTCGCATTGCAAGATGTGTTGCGGCACGTGCTTCATCCGCCATTCTGGGTGGCCCACATACGAGAATCGCAAGGCTATTACCAGCTGAGCATGCATCGCAGGCCCGGCTCATGATCAGGGATTGAAGATGGGGTCGGCCTGACTGAACATTGAATCCAAAATCGTTAGAACATTCAGAGGATGAGGTGGAATCACGCGTAGCGTAGAAAGAGGCGCGGAAGTCATCTCGTTCGAGGGCGTCTTTCAGCTCCCGGTGAGAGATATCTTGGATGAACGCTGCTTGTTTTGTGGTCCAAACTAGCTCCATATCCCTAACTCGTGTCTTCTCATTTTCGGGGCTTTCGTCCCAGTCTTTAACAGATCGGCGGAGATGATCTTGAATGTAAGGCACTGCCGACGCTATTCCCGTCCCACCAACGATGATCAAGACTGATTCATACCTCCACAGTGGAAAGGTTTCTCCATACGGGCCTTCAAGAAGAATGGTTGTTTCGGTTGTCTTGCTTGGAGAGCTCAGACATTGCTGGCGCAACTGTTTGGTCCAACCGTCATACGGACGGACCCAGAAAGTCAACTTCAACCTCGGCAATGCTTCTTGGCCAGATGAGGCACTTTCTAAGTTCCCCTGGTATTCCTGGTCGGAAGGACCGCCTGAAAGTAGCGGCACATGCGAGACATCATGCGATTTCATCGACTTTCCCTTAGATGTCGGTGCCAATGGGTCCCGGTCCACTATTTCGTAAGACCAAGCTCCAACGGTAAAAGGATGGCTCTCCCACCCAGTAAGTCGAAAGGGTTGGTATAAATAATAGTAATGTCCCGGAAATGGTTGAAGAGAAGGCATTCCTGGGGTGACCTCCAACCGCACCACGTCGGCCGCTTTGTCGTAAGCCATGCGGCTCATAGACACTCTTGCAATTCTTCCATTTGAAGTACTCACGTAAAGGTTACAGTAGCACAGTCGCACGATTCGAAGGAAGCGATCAACGACCCATAAAGCTACCGAGGGCCACAGGTACTTCCAGTATTCATTCCCTTCGAACACAACCGTGTGGCTTGCCGTTCGTTAGAAATATATGTAGAAAGTGAATTAGATTAGAAAGCTTACTAAAAGCACCCGATCAGAGCGATAATCGAAAGCACGACATGAGCAATCAAGAAGAGCTCATATGTCGCAATGCGAATTCGATCCAATGAGGTGATCAAAAGCAGAATCATGACAAATGTGCCCTAATATGGCATTAGTATTAGATATGGAACAACTTGAGATCAGCCAAATTGACAGCCTACCAAAATACCCCACAAGACATAGGTTTTCGAGAGACCTCTCCAAGCTTTGCCAGCTATGATTTGCAAGAAATGTCAGTTTTCAGATCTGCATTTGAGATCAAGCACTCAATACTTACTTTGAATAAACATAACAACATACAGAATGGAGTGCACTGCTGCCTGTACTGTAGCCACCCGGGCCACATGTCGATGGAATATATTGAACGATGCAAAGCTCCACCCGGTAGCCCACAGAAAGATATTATTTCGACCCCCAAAAAGCCATAAAAGGGGCAGATTCGCAAACGCCATGATTCCAGTGCGATCTGCAGAGTAGCGCAGAATCTGGCTTGGGATATCAGGCCAGCTTGACTATCTGTCAGCAATTTTCACGCCTCACTCCCGCAGGCTCTGTACGTACTAGATATTTCCTGGAAAGGTGCGATACCCCATGACACTTAATACGATGCTTATTGTCCAAAATCCTATGACTATAAGCGCCTCGACTCTGGTAGGGAATGTGAAGCCTAGCAGGCGTCGACCATGTGTTGTTGCCAAAGGGGCTGGAATTATCAGATGAGTCTGGATCCAGTGAAGACACGTCCCCACCAGCGGGATATTTTCTGAAAACTTTATGAGAGGGTACACATTAGTTTCAAGTGCGCGCTCTGCACGGCGTTGTCGGCGGTGGTGTCGGCTGTGGAATATCGAATCACTCAAGCGATGGGCCATCCCCAGTGACAGTATGCCACCCCAATATGCATATCCGACGTAACTGATTGGTCAATATATGGATGTTCTACTCATCACCTTGGACAGACTTACCTGAATGCATGATGTGACCAAGTTTCGAATTCCCAAGATTCCTAGGATGTCGATAAGCTTGAGACCAATTATATCCCAAAAAGGCACAAAGAGTCTCACAATCGTATTGAACATAAGGTCAAAGTATGACGCAGAAAGAAGGATAGGGGCGTCAGCTGGCTCGCTCCGGGACAACTCTTGATAGTCGACCGTTTTCATATTTCTTATTGCATCCTCTGTTATGTTCTCCGCAACGGCTTCTCTCGAGAGCAGCTCTAAATTCCCAAATTCTTGGCACTGGTCAGCCAGTTGAGTCAAGCCCGTCGCTCGTTCCCTCTCATTGCAATATATCTCGGACGCAGCGTATATCGATGCGACTTTGAGCGGATTCCGGCATTGCGAGAGCCAGATGTCTTTGCCTTTTGTGGGAACGCCAGCAAACGAGATGTACTTGTAAGCCGTGTAGACAGCCGTCACACACCGCCCGTCCTCAAGGTTAGCCCAGACACCGTGAACGAGTGCGATTATCAGCCAACGGAGCAACATAACGAGCCGCTAGATCGCGGGCTGGTCTGGGGTGAATGGAAAAACGGTTGAAGAAAAAAAAAGCGGAGAGCCGGGAGTAAACTGATAATCACACTGATCAGGTGGACCCATAAATAGATCGGCGAAGTCTCTGAGCTGTTGGAGTGTTAGATCTCGTTAGGCCAAAGCTTATGATGACTGGGATTATAAAGGAAAAATTACTAGGATTATATCCCAGACACTCAAGGGAATTTTTAAAGAAAATGGACAAAGGAACAAAGGAACCGGGTTACGTTGTGGGAACACTACCGAGGTCGGAATACTCTCGGACCTACCTAATACACCTCCAGGTCTTATCTGATCTGATTGATTAGACAACAGCCATGTGACACCATGATTGGCCTAGCCCATTTCAGTCGGAATTTCAAGTGGACAGCCGTATATTTACTCTGCTGATACGTATCTTATTTGATCTTAAAGGTAACTTAGATATCTATTCTGCCTGTGTACTATGGTCGATAGACTTTTGCATTGGAGTTTAAAATTTGTAAAGCTTACAAAATCGTTGGCAATATATATATACCAATGAAGTCACTCCCCAGCACTTATAAGATCAGTCAAAGATACGTACGCTGCTACTTCAAATTTAGATCTGAAGAAAAATTTGACCGTGAACCGATTGGATTTTCCACTCGACCACCCGGTGCCTTGACTCTTGTACCATAACTTACATAAATTAATGCCTTATCCGCCAAGAAGCGCTTTAATATATGATATACTCAACATGTCCGACCACAATGATCTGAATAGCTACAAAATGATCGGGTTATCAAACCTGTTTCACATATCAAAAGTTAAATCAATTAGCATCGACATCTTGAACAAAACAATGTATGTTTGTGAAAGCTATAGCACATCATTGTGCGGCAGAATGACGGGCGGTCGAGAATAATGATGTCACATAGTTTTTCTCCAGATTTCATCTGCGGAGACTCATTGTACAACGTACACCCGGGGACCTGACTAACTTCAGCTGGTGACCATAATGGGAGGAGGAAGTCGAACATCGGCAATGAATATCCAGAAGGTATCATCTGATCTGGGCCAGAATGTATACCTCCATGCGGTCGTGGATCTGGGCAGGTAGGCATACCAATTCTACCTCTTGCCCTATCAATGTGCCCAGTCGACCATTCCTTGACTCGAATTACTCGCTGACTTCAAATACTGCAGTAATGGTATCCGTTGCTCGATCTCAGACCTCTCCCCTCCAACAACCCGTGTCATCCCTACCGTACATTTTCATCGTGTCAACATCTCACTCTATGAGGCTCAGGTGGATCCCGACTCAGGCTGCCGAATTCCAATTCCACGGCATGTCATCGACCGAATCGTCAGTGCCATAGTTCGTTTTCAGATTGTCTGCGTGGAGATTGGAGTTCCTGATCAGAACATTCGGATCATCGCCACGGAAGCAACTCGAACCGCTATCAATGCTTCTGCCTTCATCGACACCATCCGCCATAAAACTGGAATCTCGGTGGAAGCATTACGAAAGGAGGATGAGGGGGTCATCGGAGCATGGGGAATTGCCAGCAGTTTTTCAGATGTGGAGGGACTCGCACTTGATTTAGGGGGCGGTAGTATGCAGATGACTTGGATCACGTCGCATGCGGGCAATGTGCACATGAGTTCCCAAGGATCTGTCAGCTTTCCCTACGGAGCAGCTGCACTGACTCAGAAGCTGGCAGATCTGAAACGGGGCAGAAGCAAGGAGGAAGCGCACAAAGCACAGGAACAATTCCGTGGGGAGATGGCCAACAACTTTCGCACCGCTTTTGACACCCTGAATGTCCCTGAACATCTCGTTCAGAAGGCTAGGAAGCAAGGAGGCTTTCCCCTTTACCTCTCAGGGGGAGGATTTCGGGGCTGGGGTTATCTTCTGTTATATCTACACCAGACCAAGGGCCAAGGTTACCCTATTTCGATTATCAATGGGTATTCTGCGCCCAAGAAAGACTTCGAGGACACTGAAACTCTCAAAGAAGTGGCTCGAACGGCACACGAAATCTTCCGGGTTTCTGACCGGCGACGGAAGCAGGTGCCCTCGGTGGCGTTCTTAGTCAATACACTGGCGGAATCATTACCTCACGGAATCAAAGAGGCCCATTTCTGCCAAGGGGGAGTTCGGGAAGGAGTGCTGTTCCGTGAGATGCTCCCGATTGTCCGCCAACAAGACCCCTTGGAGGTCGCCACAGCCCGCTATGCACCCTCGTCGGCTCAGGCGCTGGCCGTTTTAATGTTGGCTGCTCTCCCTCGACCATCTGCCGGCCGATCGTTCCCATCTTCCATCAGTCTTCACCTTGTCCAGGCATTTGCTAATTCCCTATATTGCCACGCCACAATGTCCAAAGAACTTTCCTCTAGTGCCGCACTGTACAGCACTAGCACTGGGATTCTAGCCTCCACGCATGGTATTCCACATGCCCACCGTGCTCTCCTAGCACTGATGCTCCAGGAGCGTTATGGTGGAGAACTACCACCACGAGACATGGATTTGAAGACCCACCTCCAGGGAATCTTAACACCAGAGGAGGTTTGGTGGACACGTTATCTTGGAAAACTCGGCCTCGTCCTGAGCTGGCTGTACCCAACCGGGTCCATTGACACTTCCAAGCCTCGAATTATTCCCTCGGCACAATGGAGGAACGGATTAGGAAAGAAAGGCAACAAGGAAGGTCTCGATTTGAAAATTGCCATTCAGGAAGTTGCATATGATCCATCTCACCTGAAGGAAGAGCTCGAACACGACGTACAGAAGATCCAGAAGGTCGGAAAGCGGAAGAATTGGATTGGTGGGCGAAATGGCTGGGGTATTAAAGTACGTGTCTCGGTGGTAGAGGAGGATTTATTGGGCCGGTGAGTGGAGAAACAGACCTCAGAGTTGGCCCATTCTGTCAACGCATGTCCACACTCTAGCAGGATATGAAATTGCATCCCTGCAATCATTAAATTATGCCAGTCCATACGGCGGCCCTAGAAACATACTCACAGGCGACTATGTCATGGGAATGAGTCACGATGCCTGGCTCTAGATGAACATCCTTTAACCAGATCCACCGTGATAAACTCTGTGACGACTGAATACACGTCGCAGCTAGATCCATTCTACTTGTGCTTGTGAGTCTCTTCAGGCCACGCAGACCAGAGATGGGCTCTGCAAAGCTTCTCGGACTTCTATAGTAAACCTCAATGTGGAAATTTACCTGGAATATCATTTCGAATGTATCACTAACATTAGCTTAGGGGATGTACTTTGAAAACAAACAAAACATAAGATTAGACTTCTTGACACAAGATAATTCGGATCTATTCAAAGAATTTTGTCCCCTGTGAGCCTTGTAGGGCTAAGAACCACGGTGGATATGTGTGTATTTCCACGGATTCAGTCCGATGTTGCATCCGAATTACACGTTCTTTCTCTATCTGATGTTGACTATCGTTTATCTGATCCTTTTCTCTCCCTTCTTCATGTCCATCATGGAATTCAACAAAGACAAAGACACTAATCTGGAGCAATCCATTCGGGAAAGGGAAGTCCAGGATGAAAATAACCCTAATTCCGGTGAGTTGTGGTCTTTGACGATTCTTTTCGAAATTCTCACGTCATAACAGAAGCAGATTCACAGACCGAAATGTTGCGGGCTGCAGGTATAGGCATAGCCAAAGATGATCCTACTGAACCAATTCTCACTCTACGTATGTGGGTGCTGGGAGTTTCCTTTTGCGTCCTCATTAGCGGGTTAAACACACTATACACGCTCCGTACGCCTTCTTTGACAATTTCGGGATCAGTGGTACTCTTTCTAGCATATCCCCTGGGAAAGCTTTGGGAGAAAGTCATCCCGAAATTGACCCTTCCATTAGGGCGATTGGCATTTGATCTCAATCCCGGGCCCTTTAATACAAAGGCAAGTTCTCTGACAAAATTTTCATTGATAGAACTGATAAAAATTGCTCCAGGAGCATGTCTTGATCTTCATAATGTCCAACCTTAGTATTTACGTTCGTCTCGGCGCCGATGTTCTGACAGAGCAGCAAATGTTTTATGGCTACAAGGCAGGATGGGGCTTTCAAATCCTCATTACTTTCTCCACATTCTTCATCGGGTTTTGCCTTGCTGGTTTATTTCGGGCCATTGTAGTCGTTCCGCCAGAGCTCATATGGCCGGGAGTTCTAGGTGTTACTGCGTTGACCACAACCCTGCACCATGTCAACCAGGAACAAGTACAAGTGCGGTAAGTCCCCTAGATTTGTTATTCCGATGCAATGAACCTGATGAATGGTAGTTACAATACTTGGAAAATGTCTCCTTATGCCTTCTTTGCTATGGCATTCTGCATCTCGTTCTGTTGGTATTGGTTTCCAGACTTCGTCTTCCCGGCACTTAGCTATTTCAATTTTCTGTGTTGGATCAAGCCTGAGAGCAAAGTAGTCAATCAGATCTTTGGCATGAGTTCTGGAATGGGCTTGTTACCGATTACCTTTGATTGTTAGTGTCATAACTTTGCATTTCCATCGCCGTGCTGACGGAAACCACAGGGAGCCAAATTTCTTATGTTGGATCCCCCTTGCTCATCCCTTCTTGGGCAGTTCTCAACGTGTTTATTTCCCTGGTATTCTGGATCTGGATTGTGGCTGTTGCTTGCTACTATACCAATGTGTGGAACACAGGCTACTTGCCTTTTCAAAGCTCCCAAGGTACAACCTATCCCCTCAATCTCCTGCGGTAATCAAAAATGACCTAGTGCAATTAGTATTCGACAATACTGGAAATACTTACAAAGTCAAAAACATCGTCAATGCAGCTTCAGGCTACAAGCTCGATGTCAAGAAGTACCTTGCCTACTCGCCGGTAATTTTTCATGCTCTGTAAAATCAGAAAGTTGACATCTAGCTAAATAGATCAGGTCTATATGCCAGTCACCTACACGCTAAACATGTTCGGGCTATCCTTTGCCACCCTCAGCGCTCTTCTTGTTTGGGTTGTCCTTGAAAGGCGCCATGTCATGACGGATGCAGCCAAAAAGGTGCCTCGACTGGTTCTGGAGTCCCTTCCCGGGCGTTCCAGAGAGTATAGCGAAGATGAGAGGGGAGACTCGGATGTACCCTTGTGGTGGTATTTGACTACATGCATCTTAGCGTTATTTATGGCAATGTTCGCTGTTGAGTGGTGGAAGGTTGAATTGAGATGGTACGGTGTTTTGCTGGCATGCGTTGTGGCATTGGTATTCTACCCTGCGGTGAGTACAACCAATGTACCAAATTACATATTCAACGCGTCTCCCTGACGAGCCATAGTTGGCCTTAGTTTATGCCACTTCTAACCTTAAGATCAACATCGATATTTTCTGCCGTATCGTGGCTGGTTTCATCTTTGAGGGCAAGGTCCTGGCCAATATATGGTTCTTCGATATTGGGTATATCACGACCATCAAGGGTCTTTACTTTGCCCAGGATATGAAATTGGCTTACTATTGTCATGCAAGCGCTCTTCCTCCCTAATATGGTAGGAACCTGCTGATACCCCAAAGATCCCTCAACGAAAATTGTTTTTGGTTCAATGTGTTGGGATGCTTGTCGGCACGCTCTCCTCGCTCGGCGTCCTCAATTGGGCCATGAACCACATCGCTGGCATATGCACTAGTACTGCTGTCAATGGTTTCAGTTGTCCCTATAGCCACACTCACTTTAATACTTCTTTGATCTGGGGCGCAGTGGGCCCTCGCCGCTATTTCTCGAACCACATTGGCTATTCCTCTTTGCTTTACTTCTTCATCATTGGTGCCATCTTACCCATTCCTGTCTATTATATGGCCCGCCGATACCCTAAGTCGCTGTGGAGAAGAGTTCATGTCCCCCTGTTCATCGGGGGGGTTGAATTACCTTCCCCCTGCGACAGGAATGAATTACGGCAGTTGGGCAATTGTGGGACTCACTTTTGGTTGGCTTATTCGAAAGCATATGCCAAACTGGTGGAGTAAGTATAACTTTGTTCTGAGCTCCGCTATGGACTCATCTGTGGGGATTGCTGGCGCAATGATTTTTTTGACAATTTATTTCACCGGAGCCAGCAACCATTTCAACTGGTGGGGAACTGAGGTTTACAAGGTGTGTTTGGCTCCGTTCCATTCACTCACCCATTCTGACTAGTAGCAGGATACATGTGACTGGAAAGGGTGTGCATATCTGTCTGTGCCCAAGGGTAGAAATTTCGGCATATAGAAAGTTATGTATGGATGTGCAGTCTACCCAACATGTATCCATGTCCTGTGGGCAGTGCTTGGAATTGAGGTATGCCAGAGATGGGCATTTTGCAACCGTTTGTCTGTTAGTCTCATCGTTCGGGAAATTCTTGTTTGGTCAACACGCAACGATATACTAGCCCACTCTTAACAGCCGGGCCCGACCCAACGAGAGAATGAAGTTATAATAATACTAATAAAGCAGCCATTCACATCAAGTCCTTAGAATAGAAGCTCAAGTAGAAGATACCTATCAATCAGCTCTTGGATTTCGACCCATTCAACAATAGCATGTTCATATTCGACATAAGTACATACTAGTAGCACTAGTCATCTAGTTGTCACATTGAGTCTTTTAAAGTGGTATTTGTAGCATTTGAAGTATTTGAGGTTGGTATTTTTAGGTGGGTCCAGCCCAAAAGCCGATGTCGGGAATGATTGATTAGATCAGCCGATTGATTAGATTTCCACAGTACATTCGCAGGGTAGGTGGCAGATGGCTTTGATTCTTTTGTGAACCTCAACGCTGAACATTCAATCATGTCTGTCCTATACTAGGTCTGTTCATACCGTAAGACAATTCTTAGGCTGTGACCCGGACTGTCCCGTGTATCTTGAAAAGTGACTCCAAACGTGGTTTCGGAAGAAATCTGCCAAGACATATTATTCACCACTCGAATGTCCCCAGCTAGAGAATATTGTACCTACCTACTCCGTATATATATCGTGGGTCTCAATTGATATACATTGAAGTTCTGCAGACAGGTTATCTGATCCCGAGTGGGGTCTGGTGCCACGAGGTGATTATCATTTTTATTCCCTCAGTCCCGGTCAGATTGCGCTCTGACAACTTGGACAACTAATCCTGGTATATACTATGAGAAAGGGAAACTTACCAGACGATCCTCGTGGAGACGAAAGAAAATTTTATCTACTCTGTATCGATGTAGAAATTCAAAAGATTCCAATATTTGATATTATTCCTGGATATTCGCAATTTCCGGCATCAGTCCACCAAGGTTGTCATAGAATTGATTCTCACAGCTTTGACCTAAAAAGAACCAAAACGAATCTTGGAGCGTATGCCAAGGTTCGCTTGAAGAAGTGGAGTTGTATACCAGCCAAGCATACTCCGTAGAAGATGAAATAGATTACCAGAATACAAAAACTTCCGATGTGGAGTCCGGCCTATCTGATGGAAATTAATAAAAAAAAAAAAATAAGGAAGGATTTTATGTGCGAAATTTGTATCGGGTACATCTATAAACCCCTGCCCGAGTTTTTTCTTGGTTTTCTTCTTCAACTTTCTAACCATGGCGGCCCCAAGAAGTGTACAGCGCTTGCAGCAGACGTTGTCGCATGTGCAGCCTCCCGTTACTCCACAGCTGTCTCTTGTCATAGGTCCGACGGAGCCACAGCTGCTGGACATTACCTTGGGTGAACTGTTAACGCTGCAAGCACTACAGTATGGGAGAATTGAGTGCTTGGTCTTCCCCTGGACCGGTGCGCGATGGACGTACGGTCAGCTGAAAGATGAGACCGATCGTCTAGCTCGGGGGATGTTGGCTTCCGGGATTCAAAAAGGCGATCGCATTGGAATTATGGCGGGCAATTGCGAGCAATACATCTCTGTATTCTTTGCGGCCGCACGAGTTGGGGCTATCTTGGTCGTCTTGAACAACACGTACACTCCCTCCGAGCTGCACTACGCTCTGAATCACAGTGGTGGGTGGTATCCACTTCCCGTATTACTGATTCCAGACTAATTTTGGCGTTACTGTGTTTTGTAAATTCAGGATGCCGAATGCTTTTCATGACACCACGCATTGGACGTCATAATCTCGAGGAGGTCCTTATTGAGCTCGGTCCTAATCCTAAAAAGGCTGCGACGTCGGAAACTTTGGAGGAAATCGTCATTCTCCGCGAGAGCTACAACAACTTCACTACCTATCATGATGTCATGGAACGTGGTCTGTCTCAGGCTGCACATTTGCTCCAGGACCGTGAGGCGGAATTACGACCGGATGATGTCTGCAACCTACAATTCACCAGCGGTTCAACGGGCAATCCCAAAGCTGCCATGTTAACACACCAGTACGTAGATCCTATGTACGACAGTTCGTTCCTAAAGCTAATCTCTCCGCAGCAACTTGGTTAATAACTCGCGGTTCATCGGCGATCGCATGAATCTCACTTCTTTTGATGTTCTGTGCTGCCCGCCGCCTTTGTTCCATTGCTTTGGGCTGGTCCTGGGCATGCTCGCAGTGGTCACCCATGGCTCCAAGATTGTTTTCCCCAGCGAAACCTTCGATCCCAAGGCGGTACTGCATGCCATATCCGACGAGAAATGCACTGCCCTACACGGTGTTCCAACCATGTTTGAGGCGATCCTTGCCGTCCCCAAGCCCTCCAACTTTGATACCTCGAACCTCCGCACAGGCATCATTGCTGGCGCTCCAGTCCCGCGGCCACTTATGAAACGGCTCTTTGCGGAATTGAATATGACTGAATACACAAGTAGCTATGGTATTGTCCCTCCCATTGGCCTGTTGACCAAGTGCTAATATACGCTCTCTAGGTCTCACGGAGGCCTCTCCCACTTGCTTCAATGCTTTCACCACTGACAGCATCCACACAAGATTGACCACCGTCGGGAAGGTCATGCCCCATGCTCGCGCAAAAATTATTGACGCACAGGGAAACATTGTTCCCGTCGGTCAGCGTGGTGAACTTTGCATGGCTGGTTATCAGCTCACCAAGGGATACTGGCATAATCCGGAGAAGACGGCAGAAACATTCATCACCGATGCCGAGGGTGTCCAATGGCTGAAGACTGGTGACGAAGCTTCTTTCAATGCAGAAGGGTACTGCACCATCACTGGTCGCTTCAAAGACATCATCATTCGTGGTAAGTTTGAACCCCCTGGATTCACATCGATATTTCTAAACTGTGGCATTGGACAGGTGGGGAGAACATATATCCTCTCGAGATCGAGGAACGATTGGCCGCACATCCCTCCATTGAGTTAGCATCTGTGATTGGTATTCCTGACCCCAAATACGGCGAGGTTGTTGGAGCATTCATTGCGATCGCTTCGGGCGCCGGTCGCCCGACCGACGATGAATTGCGTGCGTGGACACGTGAGACTTTAGGTCGACACAAAGCTCCGCAGCACGTGTTTGTATTCGGAGAAGAAGGATCTTCAAGCACGGTTCCCGTAACGGGGAGCGGCAAAGTTCGCAAAGTGGAGCTACGGCAGATGGCGATGACGGTGCTGGCCGAACGCCAGAAGGCATGAACAAAAAAAAAAGGAGCACAAATTGTACAGTGTGTTTCGAGTATAGAGCTCAAGTTTACAACAATACCCCGAATTTGATTGAACTAAACTTCCACGTGCACAATAACTCGAAAATCTGCATTTGGAACAAATGAATGGGCGTATCTTATCAGATTCTATAATTCGCCTTGTAATGTCAGGTAATAACAGAAAAGTGGATTTTTAGGCGAAAATGCGCCATTTTCCCAGAATCAGATTAGATGCGGTGATTGATGATCTTTGCTATTTTGGGTTAAATGGCTTGCATTGGGCCATCGGATGAAGGTGTGTATTGTACTGTACAAGTATTACAGTTCGGGTGAAGGAAATTTCCATGTATATTATGCTGTGCATTTCCAAGTTTTTATTTACATCTTATGTACGGTAAGAAATTGACAGCAGACTGAGATGCACAAACGACACGCTTCTGCGTGTGTCATCAGCCACCATATCGGTTTTACCGAAATACGACTTGGCATTGAGCTGTGTATTGTCCGAGAAAGACCGTCCCGGAGTGATCGGAGATCAAGTGAATACAACCGAGGGATGTTTCACCTTTCACGGCTGCCATCGGATCTGATAATCCGAGCCAAGAGCCAAGAGAACAACCCATGGATGCACTAATTGTATATCCGATGTCGCTTTCAATCTGATAAGATCTGGACCCGCACAATATGAGATGACGATATATCTCTTTTCTTCTTCTCTTTTCCGTCTCCCTTTTGTCTTTCTTCATTTATCGCTCGTGCTGCGTCTCTGCTTTTCAACTCATCATGCCCTCCAACGATTTTGTGCGAACGGTATCTCGCAACTTCCGGGTACTTGTGATCGGTGGCTCCTATGGCGGTCTAGCTGCCGCATTAGCTCTCATTGATCTCTCGCAGGGTCGCCTGGCCCGTTTCAACTGCAATCCCGATGCCAAAGCACCCACGCATCGCATCCCAATACAGATAACTGTAGTTGATAAGCGAGATGGGTATTGTAAGCTCCCCAGAAGATCAACAATTCCCCCATCGTATCCAAGCTCACATGTGTAGTTCACCTGATTGGATCCCCAAAGGCCCTGGCCTGTGAAAAGTTTGCTTCCGAGGCATGGACCCGCTTCCAAGATATCCCCGGGCTCCGATATCCAGATCTTGGGTTTATCCAGGGAAGCGTCAATTCAGTTGATTTTAAGGCCAAAGTCGCCCATATTGTCGATGCAGAGACCATGTCGAGCCGTACAGAGTCCTATGACTACTTGATTGCAAGCTCGGGGCTGCGTCGGTCTTTCCCCACTGTTCCCCAATCTTTGCGACGGGATGAGTTTCTTGAGGAAGCTAGAGAGCATATGACGGATGTGAAGCACGCCCGTGACGGTATCGTTGTTGTCGGTGGAGGTAAGTGTGATCTGCCATCCTCTGCTGGTTTTACCCCTATTCACATCCTTTTCCTTGATAGGTGCTGTGGGTGTGGAGATGGCTGCCGAATTGAAGATTCTTTACCCAGAGCAGAAGGTCACTCTAGTCCACTCTCGAAAGCGGTTGCTATCTTCAGAGCCGCTGCCGGATGACTTTGCCGAGCGGGTATATTCTATATTGCGTGAGACAGGCGTCGAGGTCATCCTCGGGCAACGCGTTATCGATACAACCGCTGTAGACACAAAAAGTGGGACACGGGCCTGGAAACTCACGCTCAGCGATGGCCAACAACTAAAAGCTGGCCACATCTTGAATGCCGTTTCTCAAAGTATTCCAACCTCGACATATCTACCAAAAGAGGCATTAAATGAGGAAGGATACATCAAAGTGAACCGCTCGTAAGGATGTTTCCTCGGCCAAGTTGCTCACAAAACATTTCTAATATATCGGCAGATTACAATTCTCCGGTGCCATCCCTAACGCAGAGTATCATTGGGCAGTAGGAGACCTCACAGCGTGGGAAGGTATCAAGCGCTGTGGTGGCGCAATGCATATGGGCCATTACGCCGCGATAAATATTCATCAGCATATGATGGCAGATTGTACTGGTGAGAAGCCGGAATATCAGACCCTGCAGCCGTTTCCCTCTGTGATGGGTCTGGCTCTCGGTAAAACGGCTGTCAGTTATACCCCGGGCGAGGGCACACGTGAGGGCGAAGACCTGATGAAAAGCCTGTTTGGCAAAGATATGGGACATACAAGTGCGTTTCTCATCTGGACCTTTATTCATTAAAAAACTAACACAAATTGCAGTTTGTTGGAACTATATGCGCCTTGGTGAGGTATGCTAGGGGCCTAGTAGGTCTGGGATGGATGTGTCCAGATTTCGATTTCAATTTTGTAGGATATTACTCTACGGACCGGTGTGAGTTTAGTTTCTGTGTTTCTGTGTTTTCTTCTCTCTTTTGAGCAATACCTGGGCCCCTCAAGACAATAGGCTAGTTGGAGTCCGATTACGCGTCAAGCTTAATATGAGTCGATATATGACGCATTCTCGGATTTATATGACTTCTTTAATCTTTATCCCTTCTGATACAAAAAGAAAATGAGCAGAAATAACATTCTCACTAAGTAGTTTCGCATACGTACTTGGGCTTCGTACTCGGGGCCTCGGATTGTATTGGCTCGGAGAATAAACACAATGATCACAAGTACGTTACATTGAGAGTATGAGTATCTTTCATATAATCTACTCATATTCACTTACACTCTAAATAAATGTGCGTATACATAGTCTCTGGGTAACTATATATATACACTTACAAATCAATACAAATCAGTCCAAATCTGCTTAGAAATCCGGTTCCACTTTCAAGATTCCACCCTGCTCTTCGTATAAAAAATCCTCCGTACTTTGTGAAGTTGCGTCTTCATATCCACAATGGCACCATTCGGCACAATCTACTCCTATCTGCCCAGCCCTCGGGTCATGAAGGTATGGAAACCTCTACAGCCCCTACAGCCCTACTCCGTAAAGTTAACCTCCCCCCCTAGGCCCAGGCTGCGGCCAACCTGAATGGCTTGGAGCTAGCGGTTCCAGAATTTGCCATGGGCAAGACCAATCGTACCCCGGAGTTCTTATCCAAGTTCCCTCTGGGTAAGGTGCCCGCTTTTGAGGCTGCCGATGGAACAACCCTGTTCGAGTCAGACGCCATCACCCAATACATTGCCGAGAGCGGTCCGGCCGCCGATCAGCTCATGGGAGCTACCCCTGCCGAGCGCGCCACCATCCGCCAGTGGATCTGCTATGCACAGGGTGAGATTCTAGACCCTGTGACGCAGTTGGCGCTTTGGCGTCTCGGCATCCGGCCCTACGATGAGAAAGTCGAGGAGACGAACCTCGGGCGTCTGGAACGCTCGTTGGAATGTCTGGAGACTCACCTCAAGGATCGCACTTGGTTTGTGAACAACGATAAGCTCAGCCTGGCTGATATCACAGTTGCTGCTGCCCTGGTCTGGGGGTTCTCCTTAGCCATCGATGCTGAGATGCGCCAAAAGTTCCCCTCGGTGATTACCTGGTACGAGCGGTTCCTTGAGGTCGAAGGCATCAAGGAGGCCTTTGGTGAGAAGAACTACGTGGATAAGCGTCAAGGTCCCCAGGCTTGATGCTCAACATGACGATATCAAATAGCATTAGCAGCCGAAGAATTAACATATTATATTCGGTTTCACCAAACGCCTAAATCGTAAAGAGCCTACAAAACCACGCTAGAATATCATCAAATATAAACATGGCGTTCAAGCGTGCCCAAGTGGAACAGTACATATGGGCAGGAAGACATAAGATGCCCCGCAGCCATCTCATCACAGACGAGCCATCACGTTGCCCTCACCTCGTACCGTTCCCATCGCCCGCGCGAGGTTTCGGCTAGCCCAATCGGCGATCGCCATGTTAGTGATCATTGGGTTCACACCGCTAGCGCTAGGGAACACCGACGCATCCACAACGTACAACCCGTCCGTGTCCCAGACTTGACAATCCGGATCTACCACACCTGCTTTAGGTGACTTGCTCATGCGGCAGGTGCCCATCTGGTGTGCGCTGGCAAAAAGCCCACGCTCCGGGTTCAAAGGGGACTTCCGACGAAGCTCGGCAATCCAATTCTGCAGGGCCGCATCGTTGGTGCCCTCAGGGGCCTCGGGGTCTGAAGCATCTGGCCGGATGAATGGAGGAAGGTCACGGTAAGCGGTATGGAACTCTGTGGCGCCTGTGATGTACGCAATCTTGGCGCTGGCTATTATGGCCTCCACAATGTGTTTTCGGTCAAACGCAGAGACAGTATAGTCAATTCGGCAGCGTCCATCAACGGGATCCGGGTAGACACGGCCAGATTCGCGGTCTTTGGTCAAGGTGATAAAGCCAGTGCTGCGGCGCAGCTTCGCCGCCCACAGCTTGTACTCCAATGAGTCTCGCCAAGGGAACATCGGAATAAACAAGGAGGGCATCATTGAGAGAGATTCGATCTTCACACCATGTCCATCCCCATCAAGGTCCTCAAATTCATTGACAACCGTTGTCAGTGCTGAGCCTTCCCAGGGGCGGGTCTCCTCATCGAAGACAGCACCAGCTGCCATAACTGTGTAAAAAATAGTAAGTGCCCGTTAATATACGCTGTTGATGGAATTGAACAGTTCTTACCTGGGTGAAGATAAAGGTTTCGGCCAATCTGAGGATTCTTCAAGCCACTGCGCAGTAGCAGAAGGGGACTTTGCAATGTGCCAGCCGATACAACTACTTTCTTGGCCTTGATGATCACCTTACGCTCGATGGCCCGAACACCACCGAGCTCCAAGTATGAATCGCGCGACTTCCAAGTTCCTTGCACGCCAGAAGCAACCTTTCTCCCCTTGATGTTGGTGAAGAGCACCTTGTCGGCACAGAAACCTTCCATAAATCTCGCGCCAGCCTGGGCAGCGTCCACAAGATATGACTCCGTTGGACCTTTCTTCCCCCGAAGCGCATCCCAACGTGCAATACCCACAGTAGTGCTCGCCGTGACCCGTGTTTTGGGGCACTGTTTTGGCAGCATAGCCCAGTTTCCTTGCGCCTTCAAGAATCACCCGATTCTGGCGGTTATGCTCAACATGGTCCTCATTAACACCCATGCGATCACAGACCCGGTCCAAACTTTTCTGGAAGTCAAGGGAGGTGAAGAAAGGTAGACCGGTATCTGCCCATTGCTGTCGGACATACCCCTGAGTCTGTAGAGATGCCGACCAGTTAATGGTACCACCACCGCCCCACGTTGAGCCGGCCAAGACTGCCATCGACCCATCATCGGTGGAGAGTGTACCTCCGTTCTCAAACATGTTGGTAAATCCCTCGCTCGGGCCCATGGGGAAGGTGTCGGACGGATACGAATAGGACTTTTCCACAACCAGCACTCGATGGCCCGCTTCGGCTAGGTTCTTTGCGGCCACGCTACCACCGCAGCCACTTCCCACGATAACAACATCGGTTTCAATCATTTCCGGCTGATCCCCAGAAGAAAATTGCAAAAACTCATACTGGTAACCGTCGGCGGGCTGACCATGAACAGGGATGCGTGGGAAGCCCAGAACTGGACCTATGGTTGGACTGGTGGTAACCCAGCATTTTTTGACGATGGCGGTGAGTCCTCGATAGATGGCGCGGAGAGGGGGCAATCGAGAGGTGTCCCATCCACGCAAGACCTTTTCCCGGAATTCTACCGGTTGGTCCTGGATCGGAGTGATTGAACCCGTCATGATCAGGGAGCCGGCACGGGTATTGAGCGCCGTCATAATCAAGCCAAACCCATTCCTTCCCTCATCATGCACCTGGTTGCCCAGAAGTCGCTCCACTATGGCCCGAAAGTGCGGGTTCGAAGAAACATTTTCTTGCAGATATTGGGTGGCAATCTTCACGGCATCGGGTCCAGAAATCAACGTTGACAAGTTCGATACGGCAGCATTCCACTCTGCATCTGAAATCACTCGGTCGTTTGATGACTTGACAGTTGCTGCAGTGTGGATGGAGGGCACAACTGCGTCAGCCAGCGCATAGAGGGTTTTCCACTGCAACTCCGAGAAGTAAGTGGCCGAAGGCACTGGCGGAACCGGGACATCCCTTGGGGTGTATGTGGACACATGAGTTGCCATGTTTGCAAGAACCAAGACAAAGCCGTAGATCAAGCTCCGAAGGTAGAATGGTGAGAATGAGAATGATTGTTGAAGCAAAGAGAGAAATAGGTCCTAACGAGTTATAACACTAGCTCGACATGGTCCCACTATACTTATTTCAGAGCGTTCATCTTAAAGAGGGGCGTTCATCATGCGACTGTCATGCTCAGCGCAACCCGAAAGAACCCAAATCCGGGGGTGGAAAGCCTCGGTTAAGTGGAGAGATGAGCATGGCTTTGGATTGTAACAGTGGGTTCTTGGAATCTCCTGTCAACCAATTAACATCGTATAAATCTCCCATGGACACTTTCAAATTTCCACCAGATCTCCCCCTCTTTTTTCGAAAGGTTCGAAAGGTTCACGGACACTCATTAGGAGAAATTGCCGAGTTCCAGTGCCATGTGAGAATTCCATGGGAAGACGTATCAAGTTCAAGTCTTCAAGGCTATATATCTGCAACTTTCAAGTCTTTAGATCTTCAAGGTTGACTGTATATACACTTGCGTAGATAGTTGTAAATAGTTGAGTAGTGGAAGTTGAAGCCGAAGTCTTGTGGCAGGCAAAATGTCACTTCTCCGCCTACCTCCTTTCTCATCGCACAATGGATACACTCTCTAGCAAATGTAATCTGCCTCCAGAGAAAGTCTTCTCTATCCAAATTGGTTCCGAAGTATTTCGTCTCTCGGGTGCTTCAATCGCCTCTGATGGTCGGTAAACCGTGCTCGTTCCCCTCTAACCCTGGAACTGACACTGACTTCCCAACAGCTCCATCCTACTTCTCACGCTTCTTCGAGGAGCAATTACTCCATCAAGATGCTGCCAACATCAGGACCCTTTATATCGATCGCGATCCCATGACATTCCGTGAGATCGCTAGGCACCTACAAGGTATGAGAGTATATGGACAAGCACAACGGGACGGAAACTGATGGGCGCAGGTTACCATGTCCGCCCTCAAGATGGCGCGCAATACGTGAAGTTATTCGCAGATGCACAATTCTATACATGTGAGAATCATTCATCTTTACCCTTACCACCAGAGAGTAATTGCTCACCCAACAGTACCCCGATTGATGTCCCAGATGTTCGAGTCCGAATGTTTCATTCAAATCGGCGACCGCCACTTCCAGATCCCTCGCGATATCTTCTCAGGTCCCGGTGACGCTCCAAATTTTTTCACTCTCGGATTCGCCGCCTTCTTTGCCTCACCGACTGAGGTGTTTCCAGGCCTGGACCGCCAGGGTCTCTTGCGACCTCCGGCCATTGTCCCCCCAAGCGTTCCGAACCGATCTGCGGATGTCTTTGATGAGCTCCTACATCTGCTACGCGGGTATCCGCTACATATTAGAAACGAAGATCATCGCGCTTCGCTCCTGCGCGACTGTCGTTACTTCCATCTGCGCGGTTTGGAACAAAAATTGATCCCACATCAGATAACGACGAATCCCTTCAGCCAGCGTTTGGAAATCGTCATCCGGCTCGAGGATGTACGACCATCTGGGATTCAATTTACCTTCGACGCGGTTTCTGGGTTGCCTACAGTGGGTGGAAATGTCACATACATGCGCCCATTTGTAGACGAGAACGCCGCCGATCTGGTTGTGGAGATCGGCGACGAGTCTAGTCTGATCCATCGGGGGAGCATGCGTGCTGACTTTCTCGGCCTTTCCAAACAAAGAATTTCCAGCCTGTTGCAGACTCTAGGGAAAAAAATGAAGTTGTCTGATTCACATCCGCCATTGGGCCAAGTGCCAATCAAGGTCCGTGTTGACCGTGAAACTGATCTCACAGTGGATGGGGAACAAGACCCTCGGCATCTGATGATACCGAGAGTCAATGCCGAAGCTGGCACTGATTGTGTGCCTCCAGCTAAACGTCCACGAGTCGATGATACGGACGACGGGCTCTGTGTTGTACGGACAGGACAATGGCGATTGCAAGTGCAGAAAGGGTCTACCGGGGCTTACGAGGTGGTCCTGGTTGCTGTCAAATTGGACGTATATACCAGCTCGCAAGTTCGAAACAGGTCACGGAAATTCCTCTAGTCGCGTGTATGTCTGCTTCAGTCCTAAACTGCATGATGTGCCGGAAGACTTCGATGTATCATATCGAACAGATGCCCTCGGGAATTGTTGCAGGCTCAGCAAACTTGCATTAATATAATTTTGCTAATCGGAGAATCCTCCCCATTCTTCATCGTCTGCATCTTTTTCGTCTTCCTCGCTTTCATCGCTCTCGCCCTGCTCACCGTGGTCGTCGTGCTTGTCGTGCTCGTCATTTCCACGTTCCTTCGCCGGAGCGGCCGTGACAGCAAGCCTAGGGTCACGAATGAATCCAGCGACGAAAAATCCTCCCAGACCCTCTGCGTCACCTTGCCAAGACCGGATACACGCTTCCAGTGCCTCGTCAGAGAGATCTACCGTGCCCGATGGCCCTGTCTCTCCCTCGGCCGGCTGCTCCTCGCGCACACCTCGCTTCTTCCATCGACGCAAGCCATCAGGCTGCTCATCGCGCCGCAGGAGGCGCCAGCCACGCTCCCTGGCAACCTGAGAATTCAGAATGCGAGCCACAACACCCTCATTCTCAACCAGGTGAATCGAACAAGTACTGTACGTCACATGGGTCGCATTCGGGAAACGTAGAGCGTGTTCAACGATCCGTGCTTGAATGCTTGATAGTTTGGTCAATCGCTCCGGGTCAATCGTTCCATCCGGAATATCATTTTCATCTGTGGGCTCTGCCTGCGGAGTTCCCATAGTGGCTTTCGACTGCTCAGCACCTACTTCGTCGTCGTTGTCCGGGCGCTTTCTTTTCTTTCCATGAGACTTGGGCGCCTTGTACGCTGCCGGGGCAGGGAGTGTAAATTGAGGGACATCGTCACGGCCAATGATTCCACTACCAGAGCAACTGGGATCTAACAACAACCCAGTAACCTTTTCAAACTGTTCATCTTCCGGGTCAAGGGCCAGGAAGTCTTGACCTTGCAGCACAGTGACCGAGTCGGCACCTGCCAGACCAACCATTTTCTGCAGCGTTCTGGACCGCATGGTAGATGCATCCATAGAAAAGATTCTCTGGTTTCTGTTGTTGCTACCCTTTTGTTGTTTAGCCAGAAGCGAAGCCAAATGCGTCGTCTTATTCCCTGGGGCAGCACACCCATCAACCAAGTCGCCCTCCCATGCATCGCTAGGCCCACGGTCACCCAATAGGAGATATGCTGGGAAGCAGGACGCTTTATCCTGGAGAATGATTTCGCCGTTTTTGTAGGCCGAGGAGGCAGTGAAGTCTGCGCCAAAAGGCACGGCCACCAAATCCGGAATGTTAGGATCAATGAACAATCTCGGCTCTGGCTTTCGGTTTTCCAGCTCGTCTTCTGGGGCCAATTCTGCCAGACTGTCTACTCGACGGTAGGACTTGAACGTAGTGCTCAGCTGGTCTTCAAGGGTAGTGCGAATGTTATTGATGCGCACCCAGCGCGGGTAAACGAAATGGCTGGTTCCATCGGCCAGTCGTTTCTCACGAATAACAACAGCCTTGAATTGCTCGACGGTGGCGCAGCCACGACGAACACGGGCCTTAGTGAACTCAGCCTTTAGCCTGGCTTTATGGCGCTCCACAGTTTGGCGTAGTGTGTGGGTTGCTGGAGCGGCAATACCCTTCTTCGCGAGTAGGTGGTCATGGACGAGGAGAAGAGCAAGGAGTGGAGAGAGCTAAATAGAAATCACTTAGTCAGTCAGTAGGAATCTCGAGTGGTTTCTCTAGAATTATCTCACTTTGCGCTCCAATGCGAGAATGCCTGATTTGTCAATGACATCTGCCAGCACGGTGTCCCATTTAGCAGCCTCGGTGATCAGCGCATAGACCTGTGCTGGAGATGCGCGCAGGTTTCGAGCACTGTAGATCCGGGACTTGAACGAGCCGCCCGAGGAGGGTGCGGTCAAGATAGCGACCGCATCAAAATAGAGGGACATTGGGATATTGGAATGTTGATCGGAGAAATTGAAGATTTTCGCAAGTCAAATTGATGATATTTTGACGTTTGTTCTGTTTGCATCTGATTGCATACAAACTGGAAATATGGGACTATACAACGCTGATGGCTTATTATATTGCCTTTTGGTGGTGATAGATTGACTACGATAAGACCATATTTTCTGTTCATATGATATTCGAACCCAAGGATGTGTAGTGTTCATTGGTTTGTTGCTGCTCTAGACGGTATCTATATTTATGTATCTCGATCCGCCCCTCTGCCATGACCTTAAAGCTCATTCTACTTCCCAAATCTTCACCATCATTACCATTGAAAGCCCCCGACACCCAATACTCCCTTAGCAAGCAGAATGGCACCAAAATCAAAGCTTAGGACCTCAATACAGCCTCCACCAGGACCCAGCGCAAAACTAGTACTCCCACTCGAAGACACTAGCACCAACACCAACCCCACTATCTTCAACGATGCAATGATGATTCGAAAGGCCGTCTTTATCGACGAGCAGCACTGCGCTGCGGATTCCGAGATCGACAGCGACGATGCCCGCAGCTGGCACTGGGTACTATACGACAACTCCACCGCAACCTCCACGCCTGTGGGGGTGATCCGCCTGGTACCTCCACCACAGGCGCCTCACACCCATCTCACGGAACCACAAACGGCAGTTGGGCAGGGAGCTCTTGAATACGACTGGGCACACGAACCCTGTATCAAGCTGACGCGGGTGGCGATCGTGCCGTCGTTCCGCGGCCTCGGACTTGGGCGACTATTGGTGGAGACGGCATTGGAGTGGGCGGCTGTGCATGCGGCAGATATAGACGAGGCTGTGGCGCACACTGCTGCGAGAGTCCAGTCATCTGTTACTCCGATCCCGTGGCAGGGTCTGGTCCTTGTACATGCTCAGGTGGATGTGGAAGGCATGTATGCTGGGCTTGGATTTGAAACGGATCAGTCGCTAGGTCGGTGGGACGAGGAAGGAATTGAGCATGTGGGTATGTTTCGGCGGGTGGTTCTGGATAAATAGGGATCTACAAAGATTTTAAAATATAAAATGGGATAAATATACTCAATATACTCTACGAGTGGAGAGAAAGTTATGGTTCAATATCAATGGATTGAACTAGGTCGAACGGAATCGAACTAGATATCATCTAGGGAAATTGCAATTGCACATTCCCTCGAACTTGGATCAGGGACCAGTAAACGAAGAAAAATCAAATGAGATGGCCGCGCAACAAAAAACCGACGGGGTATCCTGATCAACGCGAAGCAAAAGAAAAAGAAAAACAGAAAGCAGAAAACGCAGAAAGCAACCGGGTCGCTAAGGACCAACGAGATTCCTCTAGACATGATGCAAAGCCATAACATGGCTGCAGAAAACAAATAAACAGGGCCCAGACCCAGGGCCTGTCGGAAACGCCAAAGCCATGGTCGCCAATAAAAGAGGAAGAGCGGTCACACATAAGCATGTGAGATGAAAGAAAAAGAAAAGAAGGATCAAGTGAAATGTCGAGCTGCAGCAGTCCGATTGGCCAGAGCAACCGTTGGGAACAGTGCACTTAGAAAGTGCTCCAATTCCAGTCACGAGGAACGGAAGCAGCGACCTCGCTTGTCTGGCCCACGCTAGGCTCGGAAGCCTGGTCGGCATTTACGTCTTCGGAATCGGGAACAGAGACGCCAATCTGCTGAGCATCGATGGTGTTCTGAATCTTGTTCAAACGGGTAGAGCGGCTCTCTTCCCAGCGCTGGTGTGCGCTCCAGCACAGATCGCAGGCGCGGGAGGGGACGCCATCGGGGTGGAAGCGAGCATCCTGGTCAAGGGGAACGAGATGAGGCGTGTGGGAGGCGCAGAAGATATGGCCACAGTGACGGCAGTGGTGGCGACGCAGAAAGATGCCGAAGGAGGAGCGGCAAGTGGGAGAATCACAATTGGAAGAGGCAGAGTCAGCCTGAAAGAACTCGAGTTAGCAAGCGTTGTTATCTAAGACAAGGATCGATGTGATTAAAGAAGATGTGGCTGGAATGTGACAGGGCTGAGGCGGTGGACTGCAGCACGCCATTCCCGAGGAATGACGAGCTCACACGACATTTGTTTTTACAAATGCGCAATCCAAGCCATTTCCAATCCCTATAAAGGTGCCGAAGTAAGGGAAAAAAGGGAACTTGTTTTTTCTTCCCGCATCTTGAGATACTCACTTTCCAGTGTGTACGGGTCGGAAGGCCGGTCACCACACCCAGGTGTTCATTCTTCATCCACTCATGCTGGGCGCTCTGACTGATTTCGCTGGACTGGCTTTCCATTGTGGAGCGACGGCTGATAGGTTCGGATTCCTCGTTCAGACTGTCTAGTGAGCCATGCACGCTGCGGGGTGGGGTAATGGGCGACGATTTCTGGGGTCGCTCAGTGGGTCGGAGAGCTGCAGGGACGTAGAGAGGACCCTTCAGAGGACGCAGCTGGCGCGACTGCAGAGGCAGTTGGTGCAGAGATGCGGTAGCCATACGAGGAGAGGTGGGGGAATTATTGGAGGGAGTGTTGGTGGCGGAGTTGGTTGGGGAGGGCTGGCCATAAACCGAAATTTGGTTGGTGGACGGGTTGGTCAAAACGTGAGTGGCCATGATGGACAAGATGGAGGAGGATGATCAGGGTAATTGAGAAGAGAGGTTCAAGAGTACTTTAAAAGGGCTCGGAAAAAGAAGCAGATACCGAGGGGCAAAAAGGAGTTCAAATAACTGGAAGTACACCCGGGGAAGAGGCAAGAAAAAAAAGGGTGGATTGTAAGTGGCCGAGGTTGGTGGGGACAATATTGTGCACCTGGAGTACACAATGTGGATTGAGTGGAGATTGGTCGAGAGAAGAGAGAATACAGAGAGACGGAGTAGAGAGAGAGAGGAGAGAATAGAGATCAGGAAACAGAAAAAGAGAAGGGAGACTGTCCAGATTGTCAAGATTGTCAAGGAGGTGAAGGTGAAGCATACTACTCTGTGATAGTGTTACCTTGGTATGTACGGAGTATTGAGTATTGATGGCCTTCTACTTTTGGGTACTTGGTGGCGGATACTACATTTCCGCAGGGGCCAAGTAGCGCTAAGTACTCCGTATTCAGCCCATCTTTTCCTCTCTACCTTACACTGTACTTTTGTTTTTATATGAAATCATAATCTGGACTATACCACTTTCTTTTGACCGCCACTTCCTAGGATTCAGACCGGATTGATGTCGGATTTTCGCACTTGAAACCCGGGACTTGATATTACCCCGTTTGAGATTATCTTTACTCTATGTACGGGGTAGTCATCAGACTATATGGATTACATTATATAATTGATATGCTCTGTACTCTGTACTACTCTGTAGTACTTTATAGTACTCTATAGTACTCTGAATACTCTATAGTAATCCTTCATACTTGACACTATCAAATCAGACCAAATCCAACAACGTTCATTTGATTCCCCAAAAATCAAAATCAAAAATGGGAAAACGGGAAGTCCGTAGGTTCACTAGCGTAGCGCTAATGACCAATCAGGCTGTTCGTGGCGTGTCTTCTTATCATTGAGTGGTGATTGGTCCGTGGAGATGTCGAGTACCCTATTGGCCCTCTATGGCCGGAGCCCCGCGGAAGTCTGCGGGCAGGTGAGACCGACCTCGGGAGGTAACCAATCAACTGGCAGGGAATAGAAATAGAATTAAAAAAAAGAAAAAGAAAAAGAAATTAGCGTAGATGGAAATGAATTTAATTTCAAATCCAATCTCAAAAAGGTAATCATCCAGAAGGCGCTTGCCGAAGTGGTACTCTTCGGTATCTCTGTATCTCTGTATCTCTGTATTTTATGTATCCCATTTGTACTCCGTGTATTATTCACATCCAAGTATGGTTCCAAGGTTACTATATAGACCGTGGTCAGATCTATAGATGTTGTATACGGAGTACACGACAGCTACATAACAGAAGGTAGTATTGTCTTGAATCCCACATCTCGGGACCAATAGGCTGTAGCTGCAAGGGGACGGGATCCGGGGAAACTGATTAAAATAGCCGCTTGCAGGTGTTATATACCCATGTCGTCATGACTTCGATAATTATTATCATCCAACTCCCCTTGGAAAAGATTCCCACATCATGAAGCTGGCGGTCTTTAGCGCCAAATCCTACGACCGCACCTACCTGAACCAGGTGCGGGAGCAACACTTTCCGCAACTGTGCACCATCGACTATCATGCCTTCGCCCTGTCTGAGGAGACCGTACCGCTAGCCCAAGGGTGTGATGCAGTCTGTGTCTTTGTTAATGACACTTTAGACGAGCGTGTGCTGAGAGCCCTCCATGCCTATGGGATCCGTGCTATCCTGCTCCGCTGCGCAGGATTCAATCATGTCCATCTCGCAACCGCCGAAGAGTTGAACCTCTTCGTGGCGAATGTCCCGGCATACTCCCCGGAAGCCGTCGCCGAGTTCGCCGTGGCCCTGATCCAAACTTTGAACCGCCAGGTTCACCGCGCATACAATCGTGTGCGCGAAGGCAATTTCAACATCGAGGGTTTGCTCGGGAATACCCTCCATGGTAAGACCGTGGGGATCGTCGGTGTGGGGCGCATCGGACTTGCAGCCGCGCGCATCTTTCAAGGCTTCGGGTGCCGGCTCCTCGCGCACGACCCCTTTGCCGGCGAAGAGTTCCGCCAGTACGGAACCCTAGTGGACCTTGACACCCTGTTAAAGGAGAGCCATATCGTGACGCTGCATTGCCCCCTCACGGAGAGCACGAAGCATCTCATCAATGAAGAGACACTCGCACGCATTCGACCGGGTTCCTTGTTGGTGAATACCTCGCGCGGTGCACTCATCGATACTACGGCTGTCATCCAGGCGCTGAAGGCGAAAAAGCTGGGCGGATTGGCGTTAGATGTCTATGAAGCCGAGGGCGAGCTTTTCTACAATGATCACTCGGGAGAGATCATCGAGGACGACGTGCTCATGCGCCTGATGACCTTCCACAATGTCCTGATCTGTGGCCACCAGGGGTTCTTCACACGTGAGGCCCTCGAAGAGATCGCTGAGGTCACTCTCGGCAATCTGTCTGATTTTGTCTCGGGTCTCTCCTGCAAGAACACCTTGGTCACCGAGGGACATACAGCAGCTCGCCTTGGCTCGGAGCCGGTGAGACTCTAACGCAAGCCGACTCTAACGCAAGCCCACGAAGTATATCTGGATGTGAAGCGTCCATGCCTTGATATTTTGACCAATCTACCAAATTGAACACTCTCTACCGAGATATTATCCATACTATGTAGGTAGGTAGATTTTCGAGCATAGACCCATATCAAGACATCAGGATTGATACCAACCGTGCAATGGACGAATGTCCTGGAATTGACCCTGAACTGCTTGCCCTGCCCGAGGAAGGAAACGATTTCCATGGACGATAGGTGGGACCTCAGAGACCACCTGCAATGAAACAAACGATCTCCCCAGCACGCAGACGGAGCTACTCAAGGACCCATCCAATCATTCCAGGTCGAATCACTTACTTCTCCCAGATCTCATCCCCGTACTGACGTGCCGCCATTGCCAGTTTTGCTCACCGTATTAGGTCGAGGGAACTATCTTACCGAAAGAATCAAATAAGCTAGATCATGTGGTAGAACCATATATCAGTCTGTCCATGACAGATAATATCGGAGGGCCCCTATCCTGCGCGATGATGGGAACAACACTAGCCATGGCCTCCAGGACGACTAACCCAAAAGTTTCCGTGATATAACATTGAAGGAACACATAAATAGACGCATATACATGAGAAAACGCAGACCCGAATTCTGTAGCGAACAGGATCTTTCTGCCTCGAAGAGTCCTAGGGAAGTAAAGATAGTAAATCCTTGCCCCTCATGTCCCCCGAAGAGTAGAAAGACATGCATTCAGCAATCATAAGACATGACACCAATATTTGAATGTTCGGGGAAACGTGCTTTTAAACTAAGGATATAATGTCACGACGGATCAATGGTCCCTTTATACGCGCTCTGATCTATATCTCTATGCACCTCCCCTAACCGCCCGCTGAGGATCGTTGCTTAGTAACCAGTCGCAGGTCGCGAGAACCCGCGTGCACTAGCTCAACCTTCTAGTGAGAACGCGCAGTTCGAATTTGGCTGCGAGGCAAAACTGATCATGGGTCAAGAGGCATCGAAATGAAGACAACGCTACATGTTGGATCCCTCTTCTACTTTGAACTATCCCCTGGTGATAAGCCCTTCACTCTATAACAGGAGACAAGCTTGATTTTATACCTAGGTATATCTGCATAGCTGAGATATCTACAAAGCCTGCGATTCAACATGGTCCTGTATCTGATGTGAATACATGAGTAATTTATATATAACCGGTAAGACCTCGGTAGGGGAGACTCGACACATGTGGATAAGCTAGAAGGTATATGGAACTGCAAAGAATCGTAAAATATATGGATCTATGGAGATGGAGTGACCCCTAGCCTAATCCCAATGTGGCAGTTTGGGTGATCAAGATATAGATCTCCAAGATACTAGTACTCCGTAGATACTTTGTACATAGAACATGAACATCTTTCTATATAGACCTAAACAGCCTTCATAGAATCCCAAACTCAAAAGTTCCGCAGATCTCGGCCCTTTATCCCTTCTGGGAGACTTCCCAGGTTGGAAGCCTCGGTCTCGGGTCCAAGACTTGACATCATCCATGCGCGGGTACCTTATAAGTCGCCAGGTTCCCTTTGACACGGATCTTGTTATTTCATACTTTATATTCTAAGATTTGAACATTATGGACAACAATCAAGGTTGCAAGATTACTCTCTATTGGTAAGTTTCCCTCACCATCCCTTGAGTCATACTAAGTGACATTTTAGGCTCGAGCAATCTCGAAGTCACCGAATCCTTTGGCTTCTGGAAGAACTGCAGTTGAAATATGAGCTCAAGACCTTCAAGCGTCGCGCCGACAAGCTCGCCCCTGCTGAGTTGAAGGAGGTCCACCCGCTGGGCAAGTCGCCTCTGATCACCATCCAGGTACCGGGCGCCACAAAACCGCTAGTATTAGCAGAGTCTGGTGCGATTGTGGAATATCTCTGTGACCACTTTGGTAGCGTGCGACCGACGCTAGTACCACAGCGGTACATTGCCGGCAACGAGGACAAAGTGGGCGGAGAGACCGAGGAGTGGATGCGTTATCGCTACTTCATGCACTACGTGGAGGGTAGTCTGATGCCTTTCTTGGTGATGACTCTGGTCAACGACTGTCAGTCACCTTTGTGTTCATGAGATAAGCCAACATTGACATTCTCAATAGCCATTCGGAATGCCCCTCCATTCTTTGTTCGGCCTATCACCAATATTGTTGCCTCCCAAGTGGAGAATCAGTTCCTGACCCGCAACGTCGAGGGTAACCTCGCCTTCCTTGAGGAACAGCTCCGCACCTCTCCCGAGGGTGGCGAGTTCATATGTGGCAAAGAGCTTACTGCTGCCGACATCATGCTGAGCTTTCCAGTTATTGCTGTTACCATGCGAACACTGAAGGATGAGAAGAGCAAAGCCAAATATCCTCTTCTTGTCGCGTATGCCAACCGCCTTGAGAGACACGAGGGGTACCAGCGTGCCACAAAAAAGGTTGAGGACATTGAGGGAAAGTTCTCAGCCTCTATGTAATCCAGGGAGTTAGGAAAAGGCTGCGACGAATCCTCTGTAAAGCATATCAACGACCTGATAGGTCTTATTCATACCCTATGGCATCGATGTTGAAAATCCTGAGATATGTAGGACATTTGGCGGATGATCTCGGATATGCTTGCACACCTCCACAAACACGGAGACCGATAATGAGAGTATTCTACAAGGATAAATAATACATAGAGTCAGGAACATACTGACAAAGATGTTTTTAATTGCAGATGTACATAGTCTATGGTAATAAGGGTCCTTAAGAAGTGCCCAGGTGAGAGCAAACGATGATTACATCATTCAGCTGATTCATCATCATGTGACCTTCAACCTCAATCCCGGACGCTCGCAAGCGTTGTCGATTCTGTGTCTACGCTTCAACGCTTTCCGCAACAATGGCTGGTCCTAGCAAGTGTGAGTCTTGAGTACCTGATGAGTGTAGTGACCTCAATTGCTTACACATTCTCCAGCTTTGATCCTTGATCCGGCCCTCCAAAAATACTACGGTACATGTCCCCCTCAACCCCATCTCCCAAGATTTAGGATTTCGGATGAACCTCGCACTCTACGCTGGCACAAGCGTACCTGCGGGCTATCTGGAACAGCTCTTCAAATCCCGCACCCCGCGACATGATACATCTACGATTGAAGATTGACTAATGGACCCCCAGAACTCAATTCCAACCGTTACAAGTACTGGCGCTGGACCCCGCGCCATGCCATGATATCGTTCGTCTACATGGGTCTGATTCCCGGTATCCTTGGCTACGTTGCCTACAAGTACGAGGTATGGAATGGCCCATTGTGGTTAGATTGCAATTGTGGTCCAATCCCGCGCAGAAACACGCGCTAACAATATGCAGGGCAAGTTCGAATTCCGTGGCAAGCGCAGAGGAGATCCGATCGCCGAGTAATACATTTAGCGATGAATTTTATAATTCAGTTTCGATTTTGTCATCAAACCCGTACCGAGCAGCGACTCGCGACATGGAGAACTACACGCAGAGGTTGGGGATAGTCGTGTGTCGAGGGATTTTACCCGACAACTCCTTTTGTGCCGCCCATTGCGTGGGCCGTGTACTTTATTACAAGCATCTACCGCATGGATTTCTTTACTTTGTTGACTTTGCTCATGAAACTTGGCATTGACTTCCGAGGCTAAACACACAGCCCCAGATTATCTGATCCCCAAGACCGGTATCATCCATTTTAGTGCCTGCTTGTTGGTAAAGAAGACTTGTAATAGGAATTTTACGCGTCAGGTTGTCATGTCAGGGTAATACCTGGTAATACTCTACTAGTAACTACTACTCAACCTTTGGGATTTACGCTCCTATATAAAAAGGTGTCAGGATGTCGCATAGAGCTACCCAAAGATTGAGTATGTATCAACATAATTGTAGCATATGAAGAGACCGAAAAGACCCAAGTAATCACAAATTCAGCAAGGTTTCCTGGAGCATGGATAGATAAAATATTGTATATTCATCTCTTCAGCAGCGCTCGAATGCTGATGAGGCACACTATGCTTTGTGGGCTGTTTTTCTTCTGATGGTATTGATTCCATTGATCCTAAACTAGATTATCATACAATGATCTGACGTGGGTATTCATCGCCCTTTTGACATACTTGCTTTCGAACTGGATTTCTTGTGTTCTTCAATACGGTGCCCATCCACGACGGCCTCCGCGTCCACCTTCAGGCAATCGCTCACCACGATGCCAGTCACCTCGGGGCATATGGGGAGGTCCACCGCCGCCGCCTCCACGAGGACCACGGCCAGGACCACGACTATAGCCATTATCCCGGAACGCGCGCATGCCGCCTCCACCTCCGCCTCTGGGTCCTAATATCGGGCCTGACGCGCCATTAAGCGGAGGGGCAACCGATCCATCCTCAAGCGGTGCGAGAATTGCGCATTCAATGTAATCTCCAACGATAAACCGGGCATCCTGCAGGGGCCTGTCGGCTTCGGAACCCTGGAAACGGAGTGGCCCAGGGCGAGGTCGTTCTTCTTGCTTTTCTTCGTCATCGTCCGCGCGCAACGGACTATCCCTTGGACCAACAATAGCACTGCCTAAATCCCTGCTCAAGTATCGACCACGCGCATCGGGACCGCCCATTGCCGCACCCCGCGCGTCGGGGTAAATCAATCGGAAGCAGAGGCGGGTGCCAACGGGCGGATCAGGGAGTAATGACGGAAGAGCAGAAGTGAGAAGCTGCGAGAGCTCACGGAGTGTGCATGATTTCCATGTGTAGATCTCGAGATGTGGTGGGAGTGGCGTTGCAGATGCGATGGGCGATGTTGGATGAATGGCATTCGGTCCGCTGACCGGTCCTCCGCGGCGAGGTGGCACGGGAATGCTGTAATCGGACAGAGAATTGTAGGTGTTCACTCGGTAGAAGAGCTTCAAATGAAAAGGTGCAGTGGTCTGGCGGTTGATCGAGGGTTTGGGGCCCTCTCGCGATGGAGCGCTCATGATAGATGATAGGGTGAAAATTAGAGGTTGCAGTTCCCAGGACGGGGAAAAACAGAAGACAAAGAGAGATGCGATGACTTGAATGTAAATTGAAGCTTGAATGAAGGCCCTCACAGGTAAATGCTCTGGGTATTTTGGGTTGAAGGGAGTTGACTGGAAGAACCCCAAATGCGGCAGTCGAAAAGCTGCGGGTTCTCTTGACGCGCAGGAACATTCTTTTCCTTCTGCCTCCACAACTTCATCTTCCTCCTTTGACCCTAACTCCGCCTTATTTATTGTTTCTCTTAACTTGAGCTGCATTCTCATTATTCACGCAGCTTGCTGCATTACCCCGCTATCATGGATTTCGCCGCGTTGATGTCCAAGGAGATCTCTAAGGCCAAGGGTAGTGATGCTTCTAAGCCATCCAAAGATCCCGAAAAAGGCTCCCCCGCAGTGCCAACAAAGAAATACTTGCGACGAGGCGATGTCGAAGCTGCCCGCATTGAAGCCTACAACCAAGAGCAAGAGCGGATTGCACGCGAACGTGAAGAGCGCATGGCGAAGAAGCGCAAGCTCGAAGACGAAGAAGCGGATCGAAACCGAGAACGCGAGGAGAAGAAGCAAAGACTAGCCGAGGAGTCCAAGATGAGGAGGGAAGAAGAGGAAAGAGCAAAAGAACGTGAACGGCGGCGAAGGCTCGGTCTGCCTGAGCTGCCTGAGAACCCCCCGTCGACAGTGATACGGAGGAAGATATTGAAGAGGAGGAGCTTATAGCAAAACTACGAGAGATGAATGCCCCAATACAATTGTTCGGGGAGGACTATCGAGCCCGTCTTCGACGATATCGTCGTCTCGTCCAACGGGCCGCCATTCCTAAGAAGAAGGTGACCGATGGGCCTATTCCCACCACTTTGGAGCCTGTACCTGGTGGACAAATGATCATTCCGGCCAAGATTCCGAGAGATCAAGAGAATCGTCTATTCCTTTTCCGGCAGTTGGGATCTTATTTCAACATGGTCTTGTCAGAATGGGAAATGGCACTAGCAAAGCGTGACGTCTCGGTGCGGGAAAGTTTCCAGGGAAAACAAGCGTACAATGCGATGATCCAGTCACGCGAAAATATGACACCGTTGTTCCGCCTCTTCGAAAAAGCCGACCTGGAGGACGGGTTATTGGAACCGATCGTTGAGATTGTACACAAGGCGCAGCAGCGGCGATACGTCGACGCAAACGATGCATACCTACGAGTGAGCATTGGTAAAGCGTATGTTGGTCTCACCACTTTGGTGAATTTGGAAGTGACGCTAACGTGTCTATAGAGCATGGCCCATCGGTGTGACTATGGTTGGTATTCACGAGCGATCTGCACGAGAGAAGTTGCACCAGAGTGATCAACAGGCACACATTCTGAGCGACGAGATTACTCGCAAGTATCTACAGAGTATCAAGCGCTGCTTGAGCTTTGCGCAAGTCCGCTGGCCCCCGGAGGATCAATTGCAGATGATGGGTTAGCCATGTTGAGAATAGTGTCCGAATATACCCATAGCGTTTTGAGAAGAAAGACATGACATGTACATTCATCCATCAATTTGAAGTGGTCTCTTCCAATAATCCGGAGACCGTGACAACGCGGTACCCTCTGCGATTCAACTCCGGCAATACCTTTTGTAACATAGGCACCGTCCACTCTCTCCGATCGTGGCAGATAATGATACTCCCAGGCCTGACCATATTCAAAATATGACTGGCGTTCAATTTCCAAAATGGCACCTGCGGGTCATGTGGGTACACATCGCCGAGCACCAGCCGATATCCCAGTTCCTTCACAAGAGTTCTCATCCGGGTGCTGAAAAATCCCGACCCAGGGCGAAAGAGCCAATTCTCAGGCTGTGATGTGTTTCCTGCTGCGATATATGCTTCTTGGATGTTGGCATGAACTGCTCGCATCTGCTCTGCCAAGAGGTCGTCGCTGAGTGTACGCGATGGTTCATCATACATGGCATGATTGGCAAGTTCGTTGCCAGCTCGTACGAGATTAGCCAAGATAGATTCATGCCCTGGTATCTGGGATCCTATCAAGAAGAAAGTTGCAGCGGCATTGTGCGATTGCAATAGACGAAGAATTGCAGGTGTGTGTATAGAGGGCGCGTCGTCAATCGTCAATGCGACCACTTTGTTGGTTGTGTCCACGCGGAAGAGCACGTCGGGCCAGCGACGTTGACAATAACGAATGAGTAGAATTGGAGGTTTGTAAATGCAATATAATGGTATGATGAGAAAGAAGGTGGCGAGGATAGCTTGAAGCATGTTTGACTTATGTGGAGGAAGTTGTTGGGTTGAAGTTCGCGGGAGATCCGACCCAACTCTACACCAACTGGACAGTTTTACTATCTTTGGGATTGCATGAGACTAAGATTATCATTGTGCTGTTTCGTCTTGGTTTTCGATATTGATGTCGGGTGTCTAGGGGCTCTAGAAGCTCCATGCTAGTCATCAATAATACACACAACCGGTTAGGAATCCTCGAGACGCCATCATTCATATGGTGCCATCAGAGTATTTCCTAATACCTTGCTCCGGAATTCCTCCTCGCCAAGTGTTGTTGTGTGTGCCCAGGGCTTCAGCCGATTCTCTTCATGAATGGTACCAGCGAAGCATGAACTCCACTCCAGGCGAGGGAAATGGTTGGAGACATCTTGGATCGTCGATGGATGAATTAGATTGGCATAGGAGCCAGTGTTATCTGTTCGATGAGTTAGCCTATCATTTATTCGAGTGAATATTATGACAATTGTAGCGGAACATACCAAAGATTGTTGCCAGCTGAAGCAATTGACCAAGAGCTGTGATTTTCCCTTTTTCGCACAAGTCTTGATGTCGAATCACTGCCTCTGCCACGCTCTCTGCTTGATCTTTCGGGGCGACTGCGACGGAGCCTCCTACAAAGGAAGGGTTGAGATTCTGCAAAACCTCCAGCGCTTTCAACCCCCCAAAGAACTCGAAGCTCATTCTAGTGGCTTCCAAGTTACTTTGGGTTGTTCCGATGTCGTGAAGTAGGCAGGCAAGGAAGTAAGTTTCATCGGTGAAGGCCCACTCAGGGAACCTGTACCGCTTGATCGCAAGCCCAAAGTGATAGACACGAAGGGAATGATTGTATGTGGGTTCAGGAAGATGAGACTTTGCATACTCGTTGATCCGTTGGGCGAGAGGCGTGTCTGGAGCTGGGACCTCGGCCACTGTGATAGATGGGGCAGGTGTTGCTGGAGGATCTATTGCGAGAAGAGCAGCAGCTGACGATACAACAGCTGTGAAGCCATAGGCTGAGATTGGGTTATTGGAAGGACACATATTCTGCTGTTGAAAAGAGAGAAAGTAGACTTTCGAAAGTTGTCAATTTATCTAGGAATGCTTTGACTGTTATAGTCTCTCTCACTACTTTCCCCTTCTAAACAATTCAATCTATTGAAATATGTATTATGATCGTATTAATAGTAAATTGGTAAGCACTTCTATCATGGCTTTATAGAGATGTAACCATGACTCACTTGCCACCGAATTGCTGACCGGAAGGGGAAGAAGCCCTTTCGTATAGATGGCTTGAGCCACACAATTGGTGGAATTCAAGAGCAATCAAATATTCAACCGATCAATTATTTCACTATTTTTGGATTGAGGATTTGTGCTTTTCATCCAAAGCATCTCTGTATGTATACACATTGTTACGGAATAGTTCCAGCCTGATATTCGTCGATACATCAAGTATATTTACAACAATATTTACATGGATTTCACGTTATTAGATCAATTTGATCATCCAAATTGAATCCCTTGATTGTTAAAATTTAAGGAGATTCACTTGGATCCAATCATAGAATCTCAGCGCATTATAAACCCAAAGCTCAAACCACCTCCCCAGCAGCCCGCCGAATCGCTGCGGTGACTTCATCAGGCTTACTGAGGAATGGACTGTGCGATGCGTCCACCGACTCTGTTCTCATTCCAGTTCCATTTGCCGTTCCTTCAACCATTCCCTTTTGGACCACCAGGGGAATAGCAGCATCCTCAGTGCAGTACAGATAGGTACTTGGTACATCTTTCCAGGCAGCGTAGGTGCAAGGGCTGTGGAGCGTCTGATAACTATGAGGCTTCAAGGCCGCAATGGAAGTCTCAATCTGGACGGCATCACAGTCGTGGTAAAAGGTTTTCTTCGGGTTGGCAGGGTTGACTTCTAGCTTGTCGTCGCTGACGATAAACCATGGCAGGTCATTCCCACCGAAAGCGCCGATCAGGGAATCTCCTTCCTTGATGACGAAGGAGGTGCAGAAGAATAGATGAGAAACACCCCCAGTCAGACCATTCTGCTGCCGTGTTTTGATATCTAGACCTTTGATTGCCTCGCTTGCAGGCAAGCCACCGTAAGAGTGAACGATCAAGACGACTTCTTGCCCGGCTTCCGCTGCCCTTTCGATATGAGTGCGAATTTGTGCAACATCTGCATCAAAACTCAAGTGATGTTCGACAGGACCGACTGAGGGCAAGTAGACCTTGTCGGTTTTGTAGTTTGCAGCTTCGAGGCGTTGCACCACTGGATCATAGCAGTCAGGGCTATGCCATGCACCTGGAACGAAGAGAATAGTGGTGGACTCGGTCATAGTCAAGGAATAGAAAGAAGTCAGTGACTTTTGTGTTTGAAAATGGAAACTAGAGATACGTAAATGGAGGAGAGATGCTATATTTATGGGAAATCCTCGGGGGTAAACGTTTCCACCCGATATCGGGAATCATCATGTTGGAAGACATTTGGAATAGAGATCTACACAGGGGAAAGGAGCTAAATTCCCAGAAAAGGATGCAAAGGCACTTTAGTCGGCAACTGAAGGGGAGAACACCGTTATGACCAACCGGTTCCCGTTAGTATGTATGGGGCGATTTATATTAAGCGAAGAAGCCAAGAAACGGTGGAGAAAGGGGAGAAAAACGGCGAAATTAACTTAGAAGTGGAATTAGAATATAGAAAGAACATGGAACACGTAGATCCTATTCGATTTCTCTAGATTGTAGCGTATGTTGGAGATATGGGGATTATTAGGGCTCTGTGGTATATGCGGTATATGCAATAGGGCTGACGAACTGCTGACTGCACAAGGTAGTCATCTCGTATTTCGAGTTGCATTTCTCTCAATGCTTAACCTGCTACTGCATATTGCTATTGGAGGGGAAAAATAATAAGATAAGCTCTTCATAAGGACATTCTGTAAAACGAGGTGCTCACCCAAAATTCTTCCCTTTCACGACTGAACACGTATAGCTTCCTTCTTTCGGATACGACAAGATTGTAACATCCCCAAATGGTTTATTGTAGAAAGCCAAGCCCTGCTTATGGGCGCTGTCGCCCTCATTGCTTGAAAGTATGAATATCGAGGTTAGAAAAGAGAGCCATTCACTAACTTGTCCTAGTGCGATCAAGGATCACTATCGTGTACCCAATACATGCGGGTATAAGTGGACTGCCCTGGATACCGAGATCTATTGGACTGGAATTTTCGAGACCAAAGTGAGGATTTGATCCGCAAGTCTCAGCAGCCTGCACCAAAAAAGCGCATAGCCGCCACTAGCACCTCTAGGTCCAGCATCTCCACTAGCAGCGTTCAGACCGTGACTCCACCCAGAAACAGTCTTGTTTATCCAGTCCAAGAACCAGGAAAGGCTCATATCTTCGCAAAGTACATTTCTGGTGGTCTCTGTGGGGGCTACATGTCCTATCTGCTGCCTTTGATGAAAGGCACTCGAAATTCGCCGGTCTTGACCGCGATGGCCGCAGTAGGGTTAGCGGCCATGTCAAATATCCGTCTTTCTCCCCGAATGATGCTCCAAGATAGGAAAGAATATACGGCCGCACTATCACAGACCAATCAGGCGCTCAGAGACTCAGTTCTATCCAAGAGAGATGATACGCTAGCAGCTGTGATATTACTGAGCATGTTTGAGGTATGTGTGAAGTTGCTGATTTTCTTTATATCCCGCTATACTAATGTGAACCCTTGGAAGATAATGGCACGCAGCGATGGTTCAACTATAGAACGATGGATCAAGCACATGGAAGGAGTCATAAAATGATTGAGCATCGAGGCTCAGAACAATTGACTCGACAGGAGGGTTTGGGTTTGTTCACGAACCTACGGGCACAAATTGTATGTTTTGCACCACTTGGACTGGCTAATTAGCAAGATTCTCATCTTGTCATCTAGAGCATCAGTCAAATATACCAAGCGAAATACAGCTCTCCAATTACGACCCAGCTCACAGAAGACGTAAAGAGATACCGAGATCCAGACCAAATGGTCGATGATGTCGGCCGGGTGGTCATCCAATTGACCAATTTTTGCGCAACCATTAAAGATGGCAGTATCACGCAGCCCAGCGAGATCATCCGTCGGACTATGAGCCTTGACACCGACCTCATGTCAATACTCTTTACTGCGCCTCCCTCGTGGAGGTATCAAACAGTCAAAGTTCCGGTTATAGACGGAGAGCCCGTCACCCGCACCGTTTGGGGCGATAGTTACCATGTCTGTCGCAATCTTTCTGTAAGCGGTGTTTGGAATAATGCTCGCTCTGCGCGACTTTTGATGCACAAAATGCTGCTCGGCGCTGTGAATTCACTTGAAGATTCATCACCAGGGAGCAGCGGCCTTCTTCAACAGCAGCTTATTGCGAGTCAAAGTCGACAGATTGCGCACCAACTCGTGGATGATATCTGCGCCAGTGTGCATTTCCATCTGGGCTTGGGTATGGATGACACCTATGATTGGCAATCTTCTAGCCAAAACGCTGATAGTGCATCCTGTTCTGTCGCGTCACAATTGAGAGATACAGATGAGATATTTCCAATCACACCTTTACCATAGGACTCAATACCTAAATTTACATCAGCCAATAGAAGTTCATCTCTGGAAACAGTCGCAGCACACCTTGGAGCCTTTCTGCCCAACACGAACATGATTCATTCCGAGACTCATTATCCCTCGCCTTTGCCCCCTAGTTTTGAGGTACCAGGAGCCGGGGGCGTCACTCTGGCCTGGACTCTGTTAATTGCTGCAAACTCTGGATTTGCATCTCCTCCGCCACGCAAATGGATTATTGGTTGTCTCGAGAAGATTGGACATTCCATGGAAAGTAATAAAGCGTTGACCATGGCACAATCATTGCAGGATGGGATGGATTCCCGGGCATGGATGTCACCAGAAGTCTCTCCAAGCCATGACACCCTTTGGTGAGATGCTAGGAACAAGACCGAGGATATTGTGTTTTTTCTTATAATTTTGGGGTCGCATCTGTATCCGATCTCAGATCCATATCTTGGTAATCGGATTTATAGAGATTGAAAGAAAGAGGAAGAGCTCATCATGACTTTGGCAGATTTACTAAAAGAATACAAGTCAGAGATGTGAGAGGATTGCAGTGGCACACATCTTGCTCACAGTATCTCAAAGTCGAGTAGTAACAATCCACTACATTATAATCAAACACCGCCCATGTATGACAAATCGAGTCGTCCATGTTTCTACACAACAACTCAAACTGGGAGGAAACTGCCTAGGGTGTCCAGAAGAGAATCGAGGTGAATGGTGGAATGAGAGATGAGATTGGATAACCAAGGAGGCCGAATTGTAGAAACTTCATGTGAGGCTTTCATTCGAAGCACAAAAGGAAATATTCAATCAAGAACAAAGCAGGCCATATGATGGACTGTAGTAATCATAATATGAGATGATAGATATAGTTCAAAGCCTCGAATTGTGCAAATCCCCCATTCTAATGCAATCAATTCATCGAACATGATGATACCGTCTGGCAATTTACACCCCAGAGCTAACGCCGATATGCTGTTGACTATAAACCCCTAGAGCCACCGCTTGGACACATGGAACCTCATATCATGGAGAGCAATGAGACGCTCTATGATGACAGTAGGTTTCAATCCTTGATCGTATGGAATATCTCCTATTGATCGGGACTATTCATGCCAGTAATTGCAACCGACTGGTAGTGATCAACTCCAGGGCCGTGTACATCAGAACAGCAACAATTTCTTCAAATATAGTCATTACCAGTTGATTCATCGCCTCTCCGTCAACTGTCGAGAATTGGTGATTGCTCCCAAGGTCGCCAATCAAACTGCAGAGAAGTTGAAACGTGAGAAACGGCAGTGCAAGAAGCACATAGAAGAAGATCCGGGTTTGACTTCACAGCATCACGCCAAGATTCTGCACTGTAATCGTCCATAAAGTCCACGAGTGCAGGCTGCAACATAAACGGCCAAAGAAAAGGAGCATTGCAACACGGGTCTTGGTCTTGCCACTGGCATGAACTGAGGTATTTGAGGAGGCCTGGCCGGTTCCAGCGTTAATAGCGAGAAACAGGCGGGGAGATGCAAGAGTTGAACAATCCTGCTTCGTCTTGACGTGGCTGTGGCCCTCTTCAACTATATTTTCATCCCGAAGAAGACGAAGGGGTTAGGGTGAGCTCGGGGTTTCCCTTATCTAAGAGAGCGCCGTAAACTCGTATTTCTGAAAAGATGATCAAGTCAATCTAGCCAAGGTGTTCATGGAAGCCATGGCGGAGAAGCACTCAGATGGTGAGCAAAGCCGCTGGGATATAAATAATCAGCTCTGCGATGGTCAAGTGCTCTGGGGTAATCACAGCCATAATGTGTCGATATTGGAGGGAGTTGTCAGAGGTTTGAGAATGTAGCATCAACGTGGAAGACTTGAAAAAGATGGTTGGAGTTAACAAAGTCAAACGAGAAGAGGGTTTGTGTAGCAGATTATGATACCCCTACTGGGTTCATTTGGAAAATGAAGCAACTGCTTCTTGAGTTCTCGAAAGCCAAGCCGCAGATTCCAATAAAAGAAAGTAAATAATCAACAGCAATCAAAGCAAATAAGCAAATCTAAGCTTCGAATTCCTCGAGTGTTCAAACACCGCTTGCCTTTCCTATTTGGGGAGGAGAGGTGAGGATCAGTTAGTTCTCTAATCGATTGAGATGAGATAAACTAACGCGAACGACTGGGAAGCTCATGCCACTTCTGTTATTAGCGGTCTCGGCGTATCATGATCTTCATTGGAAGGAAAAGTTGAAGGGTTGATTCTGGATTGCAATCAAACAGTTTGTGCAAGAGGTCAAGCCAGGGACAAGACCGCTGAAAATAAGATAGATGAAACAAGATGTGCCTATTCATGGCATTTCTAGAGTTTTACATTTGGAGTCGTGATATACATGCAACATATTCTCATCTTACCAAGGCACTTATCGTGTAAGATCATTCCACATGCGGGATAATGTCTTCCACCAACCACGTACAGCAGACTGATCTGTGACGGTTGACCTTTTACTGACGGTATCTTCACGAGTGAGGTCCGATACATCCTCAGTTGGGTAAACAAGGTGTCCATCCATGCCGTTCATCACGGAAAGCGAAGAGCCATGTGGTTTAGTAGATGCCGCAAGACTACTACAGACACTGCGGCTGTCCCGCTCGCCATCTATCAGATGGCCAGCAGTGTAGACGCATCCGCCGTATGAGAACCTGACCAGAGAATCTCCAGTCAGGCTGCCGATGATGTAAACTCCCGGTGCAACCTCGAGGTCCTCGATTGCTTTCGCACGGAGGGTCTGGCCAGTGACTGCTGAATCCTCTCGATTGCCCTGCCCCAACACTTCACAGCGGAGCTCGGGATCAAGATAATCTAGCGTGCCTCGCCGGCCAGCAGCATACACGAGGCCGCGGACGGACCGCGAGAAATGAGTCCCATCTTGACGGCGGAATGTGACCGTCGCCAGGTCGCCGTGAACTTCCACGGCTGTCACCTCAACATTAGGAAGACCTTCGTAGACATCTTCCCAATTCCGGCTTTCAAGGAATGGCGTTGAAGTCGCGCGTCGGTACTTTGGCCGCTGGCCTTTACCTGCAGCTTCGGCCGTGAGGGCAGCTCGTTTCATGAGACGGTAGACACCAGCATATTCAGGATATGCTTGTTGATGACAGGCCCGGAGAGGTGATGGGCGATCATTCGGGGACCATTTGTATGTGTGCAAAATCTTTTGGTTAGGGCAGGCGGAGATGATGGCATCCGCAGCAGAGAAACCAGATCCAACAATAAGAAGTGGGACATTAGATGAGGGTTTGGTTTTGAGCAATGGACGTAAGACCGGCTCTGGTGTGAGGGTCTCGGAAAAGATTCCACTTGCCAGGACTAGGCGCTTGCAGTGAAGGTTATGAGAACGGACGTAAAACCCGGTAGCGGTGCGAGAAATGCCTCTCAATTCTTCCCCACACCGAAATGCATCATCGATATGGACGGCCTCCGGATAAGCAGAAAAATAATCAGCAATCTCGCGCCGTGTGGGTCTTGTATATGACGGTAGGTCCTTGCCCGTGATCTTTTTGTGATGGTCGGCAAAGGAGTACCCGGGCAAGGACAGCATTGCCGCATAACTTAAGGTCTGGATATCCCAGTTTGCACCCCATGGGTCCTCTGTCCATTGGCCTCCAGGCTTCAAAGGTTTTCCAAAAACAAGGTGTGGGACAGCCTTCTCAGGCTGGGGACGCCAATCGATATTTGAGATGCAGCCGGGCTCATCTACATCAACACTTGGCCGTACAAGCGTGTCCAGTAAGACGTTCACAGGGAGGGCCTGAGTCGAGTATGATAGGCGTGAGGCGTCGAAGTGGGCTGTGAGAGAGCTCACATCGGCATTTAAAATGTCTGGGGCGGCTTTTAACTTGGCGTCCAATAAATGATCGGGATGTGGAGGGTCAGATGAGTAGAAAGGAATGTGTCCATGGAGAATGTATGAAAGAATCATAGCCGACGGCCCATTGCCTGGTGAGATCGTTTCAATCAGTTGCCATTTCCTGAGGACTTCAAACCGCGGGGTGGAATGGTGGGGCTCAGACAGAGCAAAAGTCCCGGATGGCCTTTATACGGGACAATCATGATAAAACGTACCGACGATGATAGTATCAATCTCCATTGACAGTGATGTATATCAAATAAGTGAGGCAGCGTGTAGCATACTGATAAAGACATGCGATGGAATAAGAGAGGTGCAACCAATCAGAGCAGGTCCTTGTCACACTGCCTTCTCACCAGAGGTCGAAAGCAAGGCCATATAGACTGTAACATTCCAGGAAATTCAAGAGGAAATTGAACTTCAGACAAGAGGGGGATGACTTTCGTATTCTGTCGATCAATCAGAAGCTGACAAACCCTAAAGCGGAGTGGCTGCAAGTGGAGAGAAGACCGGGAAAAGTTGACGATTTTCCATTTGCCGAATGAATAGGAAACCGAACCCGAGGGAGTATTTACCGGAGAATTGTGGCGTTCATGATCGCATCATATTTAGAGGTTTGAGATGAATCATATTTGAATGTTGAAGGGTGCATATATGTACGGAGTAGAACTGGACCTGGAAAATGTCCGATGTAGTTCAGATTGACACCCCAGATCCAGTTCAGGCCCTAAGCCCTAACCTCCCCAAAACGGATGAGGCTGCAACGCGGCCCGGGGAACAGCTTCAACGTCAGATAACGGACGATGTCATGAGATCTTTTTCTGATCTCGTTGTTCGATAATTCAAATCGCGCTTGGCCTTGAAGCTTTCCATAGGGAACGCGATCATGTATCACCTGGCCAAGTCGCTGTACTTAGCCGCCACAAGCAAAGAAGGTAATTGTTTTGTTTTCGATCGCATGGCCTTCCAAGGCTGACTGTCTTGTACTACAGAGTATTCTGTTATTCTGCTTGGCTTAGATAACGCCGGAAAAACCACTCTTCTCTCCCAGATCAAGGCGCTGTACCAACCCCGTTCCGATGGCGCCCCAGCACCAAACCCCGGAAAGACCGTCCCCACCGTCGGGCAGAATGTCGCAACGATATCTCTACCAGACATGAACTTGAAGATTTGGGATGTGGGCGGTCAAATATCAATGCGTGGTCTCTGGCAAAGCTACTATACTAGTTGCCACGCGATCATCTTCGTGGTCGACAGTGCCGACGTTGGTCAAGATCCCGATATCACAAGACTCGCTCGGCGCGCAAGCTCCGTGGCAGGTCCAGCACGTAACGGCACACGAGGGAGCACAAGTGCAGAGGCCTTTTCAGAGCAAAATGTCGGAATCAACGCAGCCAGCAGTGAGTTTGGGCGATTAGACGAGTGCCGTCAAGTTCTCGAGTCGGTCTTACAAAGTGCCGACGTGGCTGGTGTTCCTAT